AGCCCTGGAGCTGAGACCCTGCTCTCGTGGTTGGCAAGGTGAGTGGTAGCTGGGGCTGTATGTAGGAGGTGGGTTTTACAAACTCCTCTTCTGGGTCAGGTCCCATGTGCTCTGGAGCCTGTCGTCCTACCAGAGTCACTCAGGCTTTGGGATGGGGCCAAGGGCCTTGGGTCCCATGCTCAAAGTGCCAGCAACAAGGCTGAACCTCCTGGTCACCAGGCTGCCCTGCCATGAAGCCCCTGGTGGGTGTGTTGGTGCCCAAGGGTCCTCAGGTTCTGGGCCCCATGGTGAGGCTCTGTGGCCTTCTCACAGAGTGGGTCGAGTTCTCCCCCTATGAGGTCGGCTTCCCCAAGTATGGCGCCTTCGTTCCCTCCGAGCTCTTCGGCTCTGAGTTCTTCATGGGGCGCCTGACGAAGCGGCTCCCTGAGTCCCGCATCTGCTTCCTGGAAGGTGAGGGGGTCTGGAAGGCTGGAGAAGCTGTGGCTGGGGGACATGGTGGGCCTCGACCTTCCCAGCTCAGTCACTGGGACGTTTCCTAGTCCAGGATGGGCCGTGGAGAAGGGTCAGGTTGTGACGGGTGGAGGACTCTCTTCCCCTCGTGTCCCCTCTTCCCCTCATGTCCCCTCTTCCTCTCATGTCCCCCTCTTAGGTATCTGGAGCAACCTGTATGCAGCCAACCTCCAGGACAGCTTGTACTGGAGCTCAGAGCCCAGCCAGTTCTGGGACCACTGGGCACAGGATCGGGCCAGCTTGGGTAGGTGCCTGAGCTCCTTCGTAAGAATGCAGAGGGGCAGCCAGTGGGGCTGTATTTGGGGGATGGCGGCGGTGGCTCTCAGGCCTTTGGGAGTCCACAGAGGCTGAGATAAAGGTCTAGGGGTTGCTATTTCCTGAAAGACTCCCTACTTCCCCTCCTTGACTGTGCAGACAAGGAGCAGGTCCCTCTTCTGAAGATAGAAGAGCCTCCCACAGTGGCCGGCAGGATGGCTGAGTTTTTCACTGACCTTTTGACACGGCGCCCACTTGCCCAGGCCACCCACAATTTCCTGCATGGCCTCTATTTCCACGAGGACTATTTCCAGCATCCTCACTTCTCCACCTGGAAAGGTATCTGCTTTTCTCCCCCTCATCCCAGCTTTCCAGAGTCTTCCCATGGACGCCTGAGCATTGGGTCCCTGGTCCCAACACCTGCACTCTCCAACCCTTTGGCCCCAAGCCCTTTGACCTCAGTTCCCTGGCCGCTTGGAGCAGGAGCCCCCTTTTCTCTCCTTGTGTTGGGCATCAGGGCCCATCTGTGGGGCCTCGGGAAGTGGAGGTGCTACTTCAGCGGAAGAGAGCAGGTGCCAGAGGGCAGAGTCTCCTTCCACCAGCAGCAGGGAGCTGGCATTAGGCCAGAGGGTTCTGGTGCCCTCAGCACCAATGACACCTGCTGCTTCCCCATCCCATCCCCTCAACCTTCCCAGCCACCAAACTGGACGGGCTCCCCAACCAACTGACCCCTGCAGAGCCCCACCTTTGCCTGCTGGATGTCGGCTACTTTGTCAACACCAGCTGCCCGCCCCTCCTGCGGCCCACCCGGGATGTGGACCTCATCCTGTCGCTGGATTATAACCTCCATGGAGCCTTTCAGGTGGGCTGGGGCAGACAGGACATGTCGCAGTGGGACCTGAGGTGTTAGGGGAGGCTTGGGAGGCAGTGGGTGATGTGAGGCCTGATCTCACCTGGCCCGACAGCCTGGCTCTGCCCATGGGGAAATCCACCTTGGAGTCCAGGATCTGGTCCAGTTTCCCTTAGAGACTGTGACAATGACACCATGTGAATGGAAGACCGTGGATTCTGTGAATTCACCACCAGGGAAACTTACTCTGCTCGGGAAGTTGGAGTGATGAGGGAGCTGGTGATGTTCTTAAATGGTTTCTATATTCGGGTTCCCTTTGCTGCACCTGCACCCATTTGTTCCTCAACCTCTGGGACCCCCTGCTTTGAGTATCTTTGTTGGTCCAGTGAAGAGAACAACAATCCTCTCAATTGCAGAACCTGGGGGTTGTTAGCAGCCCAGCTCAGTCGAGCCCAGAGGAACTGCAGTAGAAGGGCGGTCAGGTTAAGAGCATTCTACAGGTCTGGCCGGGCTCTGTTGGGTCCACTAGAGTCTGGTTTGGCATCTGGGCACTAAGTCCTGTGTGTCTTAGGGGACCTCCACGTTCAGTCAGCCCAGTTATGAGGACACTGGGGAACCCATGGGCCTGTCCCTCTGATGCCACTTCTGCCCCTCCCTGCAGCAGCTGCAGCTCCTGGGCCGGTTCTGCCAGGAGCAGGGGATCCCGTTCCCGCCCATCTCACCCAGCCCTGAGGAGCAGCGCCAGCCTGGGGAGTGCCACCTGTTCTCAGACCCCAGCTGCCCCAAGGCCCCTGTCGTGCTGCACTTCCCTCTGGTCAACAGCTCCTTCCGGGAGCACTCAGCCCCTGGTGAGCCACCATCCCAGTCCCTCCACCTCGCCGTCACTGTGTCCCCGGCCCCCTGGTCTTCGTCCTGCCTCCTCCGTCCTTTATGCCTCTCTGCAGGTAACCCCAAACCCATCCTCCACCCCCGTGCATTTCCCTTCCATGCCTGGTCTGTACCCTCTCTCCTTAGGGGTACGGCGGACACCTGAGGAGAAGGAGGCTGGGGAGGTGAACCTGTCTTCATCCGACTCCCCTTACCACTACTTGAAGGTGACCTACAGCCAGGAGGACGTGGACAAGCTGCTTCGCCTGACGCATTACAATGTCTGCAACAACCAGGAGCTGCTGCTGGAGGCCCTGCGGGAGGCCGTGGGGCAGCGGAGGCGGCGCAAGCAGCACGGTCTGGAGTGATGGTGTTGATGGCTGCAGAGGGGACGGTGCCCTGGCCTGAGGCTCCCATCTGGCCCCCGCCACCCCTGACTCTTTTTCCAGGCTCACTCCCCATCCACCTGGCTGCTCGGGTTGAGTTGGGATAGATACTGTCAATACCAAGTGTTCTAGAGCCTGTGGGGACTCCGCCAAGGTGTGTGCCCAGCACTACCCAGATGTGGCATTGAAGCCATCAGCAGCTCTGCCGCAGACACCCCTGGGTGGGTCGAGGGCTTCAAACAGGGACTGGGCCCCCTCTTCTCGGGCTAGGAGGGAGGCCCAGTCCCTCTTGGCTGCCAGCCCTGCTGGGGCTTGGTCCCCAGGGAAGGGCCGGAGCTGGCTTCCTCTTCAAGCAAGGAGATTCAGAGGGAGGGCGGCTGGAGCCCAGAGCAGTACTGACCCCATTTGTGTTAAGCGCTCAGAGCCCTGGGCCTCTGTCTGCTTTCGTTTGGGTGCTACCTTGTGGAGTTGTACAGAGTGAAATAGAGCACTTTCTATTTTTCAGAGGCTCATACAAATGTGAGGCGTTATCTGAGATTATCTGTCATTGCTGCCAAGAAGGGACATGTCATTCCAGGCTCTTGGTTACACATGCAAGGACTAGTTTAACAAAACAAAATGAAATGTCTCCCCAGGCCCCTTACAGAGCTAGTGGGTCAGCATGGGCTTCCCCTGAGGAGTAGACCACCTGCTCTTGGCCAGGTCTACCCCATACTCGGGGCCACCTTTTCCAAGCAGGGACGAGGCCAGTTTTGCCTGGGGGTCTCCGCTGCCACGGCCTTGTCAGGTGAGTGGACTCGCAGGCAATGACAACTAGCACCCCTGTCCTCCTCACCCAGGCAGGGACCTCGAGGAGAGGCCAGGGACTCAGTCACAGGGCTGCTTCCTGTCCCACAGTAAGGATGGCCAGACCTGGGACCAGATGAGCTAAAGAAAGAGACCAGCGCCAATGGCGTAACTCCAGCAAGTGGTAACCTTGGTGGGGCCGTCTCCTCACAAGACACTGTCTATTCCAGAAGTTGATCCTGAGGGGCCTGGTTGCTGAGTCTCATTCTGGTCCCCTAGGGGTGTCCTCGCTTTTAGCCCTGAGGTTTGGTGCCACTTCAGGGTTCACTTCAGGGCCTGGACCTGTTGAGAGAACAGGTAGGCGGAGTGAATGTTGGGCCCAGCCACCCGAGAATCTTCTCTAAGCACTGGTGCCCCAGGCCTCTTGCCTCCCCTGGAATATTCTATCTCCTTCTAACACAGATGTGAGATGTAGATGCTGGGAGCAGTGATCACAGTGTGTGGGATGGATGGGAGATAATTGGTTCTCATGACCCAACTCACTACATCTGTCTGCCCTGGCCCAGTGACTCTCAGGCCCTGGGCATGTGGCTAGAGTCACAGAGCAGAAGAAATGGCTGCCTGGGGAGCCTCAGAAGCCACTGTGTCCAGGACAAGGCCCGTTCACTCAGCAACACATCATCTGAACCATAAATTGGAGGCTGTGGGCCCTGCAGGAGAGGGAGTGGATAATTACACTGGAGACACGACTGTGGCTGCCAGCCGTCCGTGTGAGCGCTCCTTAGGCGCGTGGCTGTGTATGTGTCTGTCTCTGTATCTAGTCTGTGTGACATCCTGGCCCTCTCTAGGACAGTAAGGCCCCCTCTCCCTGTGGAGTGCGGGTCAAGTAGGAGACGATCGAGGCAGGGATAAGAGAGAGGGTGCAGGAGGGGTCTGGCTGTCCTGTAAACTGTCCTGCAAATAATGCTGTGTCTTGGAGAAGGAGAAAAGAAGCAGACCAAGGAGTGAGGGATGTGTGGGCCCAAGGCAGACAGAGCCAGGCAAGTTTTCTAGCACGCGCAAAGGGAACCCGCGTCCCCCTCACCTTGGGTCTGGCCTGAGCAGGAAAGGCGGTGGGAACCTTGCACGGTTTTCTCTGCAAGGCCAGCCCTCTGCGGGGACTCCAAGGGCTGCGGGTGCCTCTCCCTCAGTGAGGAGGGTGGGGCCCAGGTGGCACTAGCCCCTGGTGGGGGACAGCTGTGGAATCTGTGGGAAAAGAGACTCTGCTGTCACTGCTGAGAGTGAGCAGGGGTGGGTGCTAGGGCCTTCTATTTCCCAGGGGTGGTCGAGAGTCTCAAATTTGGTGCTTACCCCCCAACCCAGCAGCATAGGTCTGAATCCCAGGCCCTTGGACTTAAGAGGGCGGCATCTGGCAGTCATGGAGGCTCAGGACTCCCACCTGCCCACACACCCAGGTGCCCTACCTGAGTGGAGCTGCCATGCTGGGCAGCCTCTCAGCAGCCAGGGCGCCCAGAGGTCTGGCTCTGAGTTCTGGGCTCAGACTGTGGGCTGCAGAGCAAAGGCAGAACAGCGGTCAGCCCTGGCCCAGAGGCCAGGATGTCCGCAGGCAGCAGCGTCCCCGCGCGCTCCTTCCTCCTTGCATCCTAACCCCAAGGCGACCGTATTAGGAGGAGGGGCCTTTGGGAGGTGCTTAGGTCATGAGGGTGGAGCCCTTATAAAAGAGATCCCCGAGAGCTCCCTCACCCCTTCTGCCCTGTGAGGCCACAGCAAGAAGGCAGCCATCTGCAACCCAGAAGCAGGCTCTTACCAGACACCCGATCTGCTGGCACCTTGATCTTGGACTTGCCAGCCTCCGGAACTATGAGTAATACATGTCTTGTTTATAACCTACCCAGTCTGTGGCATTTTTGTTATAGCAGCCCAAACAGACTAAGGCACTCCGGCTTCTGGAGGCTCTGTCTACACCAAGCCTTTCCCCTGAGGAGGTCAGTGCAGGCAGGGGCAGGACCGCCTCCTGGAAGACTGAATGCTGATGGGCTAAGAAAGGCTCAGCCAGGAGGAGATTCTGAAACTCTTAAAGAAACTCAAGATCCCCTTGGGATTCTGGAAGGACAGTCTCAGGGAGACCCCAGGGGAACAGAGGCAGAGTGAGGAACAGAGCCAGAAACCCAGAGAGACTGGGAGGAGTCCCCAGCAGCCTCAGGACATGCCCTGAGCACACTCTCCTTGGGGAGCCTGTCAGACCACAGAGAAAGTGGTGTAAGGGGCTGCTTTCTATGCATTCCCCCTGGTGGGAGAACAGTGGGTTTGGCCGCTGTCTACAAGACACCCCAAGGGAGATGCATTCAGAGCTGTTTGAGGACTAGAATGTTAGAGAAGCCCCAGGATCAGACAGAGCAGAGCCTAGGAAAGCCCATGACGGTCCTCATGGGAAGGGCTCTGGAGTCAGAGGACAGACTCCAAAGCAGGTGGAACAGACCAAGAGGCAGCCAGGGATCAAGCCTGGCCCCACCTGTTACTAATGAGCTGTGTGTTCTTTCTTTGGCAAGCTGCTTATCCTCTCTGGGCCTTAAATTCTTTGAGCAAAGACAGTAAGTCCCACTAACCTATCAGGCTATAGAGATGAGAAATGTGCAACTTTCCAAGGATGCGTAAAACAGCAGCAGCCTGGGGCCCAGAGAATCAATGTCCCCCGCCCCCACACCCTGCCCCAGGCTTCCCCTGGAGCCCACCTGCCGCGCTGCTCAGGGCTCGCTGCCAGCTCTCAGCCTGCCTTTCTGATGGTGCTGCAAACAGGATCTCCGCCCCGCCGCTCAGCCTGGCACCCAGACAGCCATGGGTCAAACTCTTTTCCTCCCATGCGGGGAACCCCTGCCTCCAACCCCTCAGCCACTCTTGGGAGGCTGTGCCTGCTGAGTCAGCATGTCCCGGGCCAGTGTCTCTCCCCACGTGGCTCTCACCTTAAGGAGAAAGTATGTTTCCTGCCGTGGTGGTCCCTCAGCCTCTCACACTGGGCTCCCGCAAGATCAAGGGTGGCGGTGGGAGCCACTTTCTGAGGGGAGATGAGAGGCAGGTCACCGCCAGCTCAGCTTTTCCCCGTGGGGCCCTCTGTCCTCTGCATTCCCCACACACTGCCTGGTACCTCTGCTGCCGTCATCTCATCCCGGAATAGGCTCAGGGAGCTGCCTCCCAAGACCCCATAGCAGCCATCCCAGGGGCTCGAGCTGGGCTGTGGAGGGAAGGCGGTGAGGCGGCACCAGGACCAAGGTGCCCATGGGGAAGAGGGAGCCTGACAGGGAAACCAGGAAGAGGAGCCCCTGCCCCATCAGGTAAGGCAAAAGCTGTGACATGGCCCCAAGGAGCCAAACTGCCCTAAGAATGGGGGCAGGGAGAGGGGAGTCCACCGAAAGTCCACAATGGCCCCTCTGAGTCCCTCGAGTGGTTCTGTGGCGGGGAGCTGCCTGGAGACGGAATCTCTTGGCACTTACCTGCCTCTCCCCAGGCAGCAGCTGCTGCTTAAGCTCCAAAAACCCCTCCATGGTGGGGGCACCCTTTGCATCCTGAAAGTTCAAGATGGGGCCCAGGAAATATCAGGACCCGCACAGAGGATGGGCCCCCTCTGGAAAATGGCCTAGGTACCACTCCTCCCCAACCTCCGCATTGCCCACGACCCTCGGCTCCTACGCCTGGTGCTCCTGGCCGCCAGAGCCTCAGTGCTGGCTCCAGGGTATGGGCCCTGCTGGGCTCCTGCTGCCTGGCCGCATGCTCCAGGGAGACAGTGGTGGCAAAAGGTATGTGTGGCCCACCAGGGACACCCGGCTGCAGGTCCCTTTTCTCAGCCAGCTGTGCTCCTGGCCACCAGCTTCCGAAGGGCCCCTGGTGGAGGGAGATCAGCCCGCTGCAAACTCTCCCAGGTTTCAGCCCCTTCACCTCCTGTTCCATCTTGGGGAGGGGAACAGGGTGAGCCAGGTCAGGGCTCCAGAGGGGTCCATACCCAGCCTCTCCTCCTCAAATCCCTCCTACCCAGAGAGCCCTGTCTCCTGACTGTTCTTCCTCTCTTCCTGCTTCAGCTCTGACTGTCCTCTCACCCCAGTCCACAGTAGTGCCCTAGCCTACCAGGACAGTGGGGGACAGGAGCTGGCAAGGGAAAGAATGGGGTTTCCCTGAAGGGTCAGATGTGGGCTCAGTGCTCTGGGGAGACCTTGACTCTCAGACCCCCAGCCCTCAGGTCTCTGTCTCCTGGTGCACCCTCGCCCCAGCCTCGCTCACCTCCTCCTTCCTCTGCAGTTGGGCAAACTTCTCCTCCTGGGCTGCCAGTAGCTTTTCAAAGTCCTGGTGTCTGCAGAGCAGCAACTCCACATCTGACACCGAGTGCTGGGGAGAAGCAAGGCAGGGTGAGGCCCAGCTCCTGGGGCTGGCGAGAGCTTTCCCCTCGCCCTTGGCAACCCGGCCTGGGTGGCCAGCGAGCGGAGGAGCAGCAGGACCTGCCCTTGGCCGTAGCTGCTGGATGGTGCAGCCAGCTAGAGGACAGGGCCTCAGCTTACTCCGCAGTTGGGGTCCAGCAGGAGGCCCTCCCGGGAGGCCAGCCAGGCCTCAGCCTGGTCCAGCTCCTGCCGCAGCTTCTGCAGCCTCCAGCTCTCCTCGCAGCGTTCCTGGTGCAGGGCCCAGGCCTCCTTGAGTGCTCGCAGCTGCCCTTCCAGCTCCTGCAGACACTCTGTCACCTGGCAGGAGGGGCGCTGTGGGTGAGATGCTCAGGCAGAGCCACTGGGTAGGGGAGGGCCGGCGTGCCAAGCAGTGGTGTAGAGGGAAGGCCTCGAGGCCTGCACCCTCCCCTTCTCTGTCTCTCTCTCCGCCCCTTGTCTGGCCTTCCTCTTCTGCTGGGGGTTCCGAGGCCTTGGGTGATTGGGCCCCATGCCCAGCTCAACCCCAGGCCCACCTCTGCTCATACCTCCAGGGACATGAAGTGGCCACTGTCCACCAGGTGCTGCCCTTCCTGCTGTATATGCTGGGCTTGAAGGCAGTGCTCCTTGATTTCCCGCCCTAGCTCTTCATGCTGCCCCAGGAGCCACTCAGCCCCTGCCATGTCCCTAGCCAGCTCCTCCGAGGACATGAGCGCCTGCCTCTCCTGAGCCCAGGCTCTGCGGAGCAGGGAAAGGAAGCTGTCAGGGCCGGGAGGGCAGCCTGGGGACGGGGGCAGGGCATGAGCTATGCAGGGGCAGGGAGAGTCCAGCTCCCTGAAGAGCTGAGCCAACAGCTGGGGCAGGACACCACCTACAGCAGCTCCCGACAGCGTCCGAGGAAGGTGTGGCCCTGGGCAGCCTGCTCCAGCTGTCGACCCCGCTCCTGGGCCTTTGCATCCAGGGTGGCCCAGTTGTCCTGCACCTCAGCGAGCTGCTTGGCCAGGCCCTCCTGAGCCGCAGGGTGTAGCTCACCCAGTCGGCAGGCCTCCGTCTGCACCCGTGCTACCTCCTTCTCCATGGCAGCCAGTTCCCTCTGCCGCCAGAACACACAAAGACACCCTCAGGCCTCATCTCATGGTAACCTGCGGCATCTCATTCAGGGAGCACCCAGTCCTCTCTGAGGAGTCCTGCTGCCTCCCAGACTGGGAGAGACCACCTGGCTCTGCTCCACCACCTGGGCAAGCAGTCCCGGGCTGGAAGGGCCCTCGTCTCACTGCTCTGGGGTCCCCTTACCACCGCCTTCAGGGAGGGGCTCAGATGGGCAAGCCACGGGGTGCAGACCCTCACCTCCAGGCACCTGTGCTGTTGCTGCAGGATCTGAACAGATGACAGGCTGTGGCCACGGGCATCCCTCTCCATCAGGGTGGCCTTCTCCTGCATCCGGCCCTGGAGCTCAGCCGCCGCCTGCTCAAAGCCTCGGACCTCGCGGGCTGCGACCAGGTTCTGGGAGGGGAGGGAGGGCCTGCTCTGGGCCAAGTTCTCTCCCAGAGTCCTTTCTCCCTGGAGACATAGCCTCCTGGGCCACCTCCTTTTAAATAAGGAGGCCCATGGGGCTTGGTGACTCGTTCGTAACCACCAGGTACAGAAAACGTCCTAAACGTGGCAGCTGCTCAATGAACATCTGATGTTACTGATGATGTGTTAGGGCCCCGGGGGCATTCTGCGAGGAGAGGATCCTCAGTGCACAACTCATGAAAAGGGCAGAGACAGAGGCTCTGAAGTGGGGGGGATGGGTCCATGTGAGGTTGGTTTTCAGGGGTCTGGCTGGGCCCAGGCAGGCACCACCTGCAGCACTTCTGATGGGGCCAAGAGAGGGAAAGAGGGCCAGCTCAGGAGCCTGCCCGGCCTGCACCCTCAAAAATAGCACCTTCGGGCTGCGGGATCCATCAGGGACTCAGGTAGCTGGGCTGCTAGTATAGGAACCACCAGTTGTGGCTCAGAGCTAAGGTGGTGGAGGGACACCGACAACTCCCTTGGCACACAAATCCACTCAGAGCATTTAGATCACAAGAGGGAGCGGGTGGAATGAAGGAGCCTCTGTTGCATGACGATGAGATCTCACCCCATTAAATGTGTGGTGAAGGAAGGGAGATCGACAAGGTGTGTGTCTTAATAAAACTGAAGCCTGTGTTTAGGGGGAGCTTCAAGTTTCAGAAGCTGGCCAGACATGCTTTCTGTTTCTCCTTGGAGGTATGAACTGCATTAGGAGGAAACAATTGTGGAGCGGGTTGGAGGTGGAAGACTTCAAGACTCCCAATCCACTTGGTGCTAGGAGTTAGAGGCAGCCACCTCCCTCCACGTGCACACACACACACACACACACAAATACACACACACACATATACGCACACGTACACACATACATACACACACACAGAGCTGGTGGGTCTGCTAGTCCCTGGCCCAGGCAAAAGGCACAGATGTCCCTGCTCCTTGGCTGCCCCTGGCCTGGTGTGGCTACCTGTGTGCGGGCTTTTATTGCCCTATCCAGCCTCTCCCAGGTGGCCTCGATGCGATTCCTCTGGGCTTGGATCTGGGGACAGCACCTGGGTGCTGCCCGCTCTAGGGAGCCCGCCAGCTCCCTCAGGGCCTGCACCTTGGCCTGCCCCAGGCTCTGGACTTCCTTTCTGAAAGCATCAAACTTCTCTTCCAGCACCTGCAAGGGTGTGGGGCCAGGGAGGGTCACCCAGGAGGTGGTGCCCAGCAGCTCTCAAAGCTCACGGAGGGCTCGGCAGTATCTGACAGTTCCAGCGGCCCTCAGCCCTGCCTCTAGAGCTGCAGGGACCCTCCCAGAGCCCAGAGACCCCCCACTTCCCCTCTGCTCACCCCGGGCCTCCCTCTCACCCCAAATGCACACCTCTCTGCCCTTGCTCAGCCTCAATCCACTCTCCCCCAGGTTTGCTCAGGAATAACTCACCTTGACGGCCTCCAGGTCCTGCCCACAGTCCTGGGACTCAGTGGAGGCCACTTTGCTGGCCAGCCAGGCGTCGAGGAGCAGGGCCTCCCGCTCTAGTTGGTGGAGCTGCAGCTGCTCCCACAGGCCCTGGCCCCTGTTCTCCACTCTCTGCAGCAGCCCTGAGTGGGCCACTCTCACAGCCTGCATCTGGGCCAGCACCTTGGGGCTGTGGCAGGAAGGACAGCCCCACTGGAGCCCTCTTCTCCCAGTGGCACCAGCCTCGCTCACCTCTGTAGGGAGCGCCCCTCCTTGCTCCTCCCTACAGGGGCCTGGCTCGCACCCACCTTTCTGGGTTCTGCCCACTCTCCAGGAGGGCTGCAGTCTGCTGTAGCCTCTCGATGCGTGTGCCGAACCCCTCCAGCTCTCGCCTTGTGGCCTCTAGCTGCCGCAGAAAGGCTTGCGTGGCCTCGGCACTCTGGCCCACGTCCTCGATGTCCAGGACACAACCCCGTTCTGCCAGCCAGGCTTCTGCCTCCAGGAGCTGGGGTGACATAGACGAGGTCAGTTTTCCCTGGCTGATGCTCCCGGCTTAGGGTTTGTGGCCACCTGGCTGCACAGTGGAATCACCTGAGAGCTTTAAAAACTCCCTCTGGGTCTCACCGCTAAAGATTCTGATTTGGTCTGGAATGGAGCCTGAGTATCAGTATTTATTAAAGGTTCTGTGTGATTCTGATGTAAAGCATTGATTGAGAACCACTGGTTTAGAAGAAACAGCAAAACCAAACTAAACGCAGGGTCCTCTTTTCTGGGAAACATGCAGGAGGAAGACCTCGGGGGCAGGAGACCACTTAGTGGAGGTGACGGAAGATGCCCAGAGAGCCGGAGCCCCACGTGGGGGTCACTGTCCAGGCCTACATGCACTCTGGGCGTCCTCATCACCCCCTCACCTCTGTCAGGAGCTGCTGGGCCTCCTGGGCCTGCTGCAGCCACTGCCGCCTCCGCGCAGCCTCTGCCTGCAGGTGGCCCATGGCGCTCTCCAGCTGCCGCACTCGAGCGGCCACGTCACGGGCGGCAAAGTGCCCAGCCTGCACCAGCTTGTGCCCGGTGCCCACCACTGCCTGGGTCAGAGCCTCGTGGCTGCTCATCTCGCTCTCCAGGTTCTGTGGAGTCAGGGGAAGACAGTCAGGGGATGCTACTGGGCCCTACTCGGGGGACCCCAGAGTTGTGCCTGAAGCCTCATGGGACCCCACAGACTTGCCCCCAAGGAGTTCCCTGTCCTTGTGACCAACAAAGAATCCAAGGTGCCCTTAAACCCTGCTGGAGGTAGAGCTCCCAGTTGGGTCTCGGGGCCATTTCCTTGGCTGACTGAGCCTCCCCTGGGTCAGGTGGGGGGGCCCACACCTGGTGCTTCTTCTGCAGGCGCAGCACGGCACTCAGGCTCTGGCCGTGGTCTCGGGCGGCCGCCAGGGGCAGCTTCTCCTGCACCCAGGCCAGCTCCTCTTCGGCATCCCTGAGGAACTGCACGAGAAGGCTCCTGGCCTCCAGAGCCGTCCTGCGCTCCTGCAGCGGCTCCCTCAGGCTCTCGAACCTGCAGCCGCGGAGGGCGGGACCAGGACAGGTGGGGATCACAGTTGGTCGTCACTATTAGGACCAGATGGTGACTCAGAGCTCACCGTCTGTGCCCCTCAATGTGGCCAGGGGGACGCCCTGAGGAGAGACCCTGGGGGGCAGGGAAGAGAAAGGCAGGGGAAGGATGCATAAGGGATCTACCTCTGAAGCAGCCGCTGGGCCTGGTCTTCCACACCTTGGAGGAGGCAGTGGCCTTCCCGGATAAAGGCCTGGGCCTGGCCCAGCAGGGCCTGTGCCTGCCTGGTCTGCCTGTCCACTGCAGCCTCCAGCTCTCCTTGTGCCTCCAGGAGCTCCTCCAGCCCAGGCTGGTCCTGGCCCCTGAGGGGTGCTCTCAGCTCCATCTCCATGTGCTCCAGCCAGCTCTCCAGTTCCTCCACACTCCTCCTCAGGCGCAGGGCCTAGATGAGAATGTGAGGTAGGCACAAGGCGGAGAGGCCGGGAGCCCCGTCTAGCCTGCTCCGTGGCTGGCACAGCCTCACCTCGCAGGCTGCCTGTAGGTTGGCTGCCTTCTTCTGGCAGTTGGCCTGCAGCTTGTCCCAGAGCTCTCCCAGCTCTTGCAGCCGCTCTTGGATGGTCTCCGAGGCCGGGTGGCCCCCCTGCAGCAGCCTGTGCCCTTCCTAGAGCCACAAAATGGCACACACCTCATGGACTCAGGACTGCTGATACCAGGGCAACTGTCAGCTCCAACCATCAGCCCCACAGCTCTAGAGTCTGTGTGTGCTAGCTGTGTGATTTTGAGCAAATTCCTTAACCTCTCTGAGCTCAACTGCCTTATCCATACAATGGAAATAATAATGGTTCTTTTGTTTAAATGAGATAAAATACTTAACAGGGAACTTTATTTCAGAGCCAGGCTGGGGTCAAGGCCTGCCCTTTGTAGGTGGAAGAGGGTAAATTTAAAAGGTGCTACACTTGACTCCTTTACCCACAGCACTGCTAGCTATGCCCTGATTCTGAACATTAATGTCTTTCCAAGATAGCTTTAAAAACCATCACATCAAAACACTATCTTCGAAATTCTTGAAAAGGCACCATTTTTGGAGAGGGTGCCCCAGGAAGCCACTGTTTCTCACTGTTCTTTGGTGCTTAGCATGGCGCCCACCCACAGAAAGCTGGCCGTCCATTACCATGGTTCAGAGCTGGCTGCCAGGGGTCTGTGGGGTGGCCCCATGTCCTGGCCAGCCGGACTGTCCCAGGCCCCCCAGCCGGGCCCCCCAGGGCCTCACCATCTGCAGCCTTTGTCTTTGGTGCGCACTCGTGTCCAGCTCAGCCTGGAGAGTCTGCTGCTTCCGCAGCTGCGCCTGCAGCATGGCTGGGTCCTGCCAGCCCTCCTCCAGGGCCACCAGGTTCTTCTCCCTGAGCCATGAGGCCACCTGGGCGTACGGGGAGGACCAGGCTCTGCTGCCTAGGGCTGTCCCCTTCCCCCTAAGCTCTGGGCTGCCTCAGAGGAAAGGTGATCTCTTCCTGGGGCAACTCCTTCCCCGCCAACAACCACTCCCCACCCCGACCAAGGGGAACCTCGGAGGAGTCCTGCAGGAAGGTCTGCAGCTGCCGGAGCTCCTCCAGCCGGCGGCGGCGGGTCCTGGCGCGCTCCAGGAGTGCCTCTTTCCTGCCAGGAGGAGGGTCTTGTGGGCCCACAGGTCTGCCAACCAGGACCTGGAGCTGCCACAGGTGTGTGTGTGTGCCTGTGCACGCACACACGTGCACATATGCGTGCACTTCCAGCCCAGGACAGCCTTTCTTGGGTATCATTATACCCCGAGTCTGGTGTTTCCTTTGAAGTAGAGACACATTCTACTTCCCCTCTTTATTAGTGTCTGTTATGGGCTGAATTGTGTCCCCCCCAAATTTGTATGTTGAAGCCCTAATCCCCAGGACTTCAGAATGTGACTGTATTTGGAGAGAGGGTCTTTAAAGACATAATTAAGTTAAAATGAGGTCATTAGGGTGGGCCCTAATCCTATATGACTGGAGGAGGAGAGTAGATTAGGACACAGACATGCAGACAGAAGGACGACCCTGTGAGGACACAGAGAGAACACAGCCATCTGCAAGGCAAGGAGAGAAGCCTCCGGAGAAACCAGCCCTGCCTACACCTTGATCAGGACTCACAGCCTCCAGAACTGTGAGAAAATACAGTTCTGTTGTTTAACCCAGTCAGTCTGTGGCATTTTGTTATGGCACTCAGAGCAAACTAATATAGTATCCAAATCACTTTTTTGATTATGCGCTGCTATTGTTTTTTAATGCAAAGAATTTTTTAGAAAAAAAATTTTTTTTTGAGGAAGATTGGCCCTGAGCTAACATCTGTTGCCAGTTTTCCCCCTTTTTTCTCCCCAAAGACCCAGTAGATAGTTGTATGTCATAGCTGTAAATCCTTCTAGTTGCTCTCTGTGGGATGGCTGCCTCAGCATGGCTTGATGAGCGGTGTGTAGGTCTACATCCAGGATCCGAACCTGCGAACCCCGGGCCACCAAAGCGGAGCACAGGAACTTGACTGCTACGCCACCAGGCCGGCTCCAATCATGTGCTGCTATTAGTAACAATTTTTTGAGCAGGCACCACCCCCCCAAATATATACGTATGTGTGTGTGTGTGCGCTTGTACTTCTGTAGCAGTATATTAAGTATACTGCCATACACACAAAAATAAAAATTAAAAATAAGGTCTTCTTATAAAATAAATAGGAAAAGAAGTTCTAATATTTCCCCCAACCCCCGGGGTCTACGCACAACTCTGACAAGCACAGTTCTCACGTTGGTGTGAGTGTGAACCTTATCTCCCCCTGCTGGGGCTGCCAAAGTGTGTGGGGGCAGGGGAGATGCAGAGAAATGACTGAACAGAAACGCCCCCCTAGAGGATGCCAGAAGCCCGGAGAGGAAGGGGTCAGAGTGGCATTGTCCTGGGGGGCAGCTGGGCCTGCCAGGAACCACCTAAAGTGACTGGGGGGAGGGGATGTTGACAGAGACCAGTGAACCAATGTATCCATCTGTCAATCAAAGACCTCTGGGGCACCCAGGTGGGGTCCACCTGCAAGGAGGAGGAGGGGATGGCCCCGCCCTGCCCCTGCCGGGGCGTCACCACCAGGTGCTATAAACATTGGGAGTGCTGGTTGGCTCTCTGAGGAGGATGGAGACCCCCGCCAGTCTGGGATCCAGCTTTTGGCAAAATTGGCCTTGATCTAAAAGTCTGAGGAGCTGGAGGAGGCAGCTGAACCAGATGGGCTTTTATGAGGAAAAATGTGGAGCCTGGAGTCTCAGAAGCTGGGCCGGCGGCTTCAGTTAAACGAGCATAAGAAATCTGCAAACTTGCCCAAGAGCCAGGCACCATGCTAGGACACCAGGGCACCCTTTCAGTCCTCACCAAACCCTGAGAAGTTACCCCCTTGTTGTAGCCGCGAGACTCTGTGAGGAATCTGCCCCAAGTCCTGCCCTGAGTGGGCAGCATGAGAACTCAGGACTGGCTGCCCTGGAGGACCAATGCAGTAACCACTGTGCTCTGGCTCTGCCACTGCATTAGGTCGGCTCTCTCTGAGTTTCCTTGTATATGCTTCTTTGTGAAACTCCCCCTTATCTCAGCTGGATGAGCCTGCACTGCTTGATGTCCGTAACTGGCCGACACACTGCAGGGCCAGGAGTGGTGGGTCCTGGCATCTGACCTTGGCCCTTGAAACAGGCTGCTAAGCCTCGGCCAACAGGTGGAAGGGCAGGAAGGGAAGAGCCCGATGCCCAGTGCCCACGCCAGCCCACCTACGGCTCCCCTCCAGCCCCGAGCCAGGAGTACCTCAGGAGCACAGCTTGGCACCGGTCCAGGGCACTCTGGGCCTCGGGATGCCCACCCCGGTGCAGGCTGCGAGCTGCGGCCTCCATTGTGCTGATTTTGTCCGTCTGTGCCTCCAGGCCCTGCTCCAGCACCTTGTGCTTCCACAGGAGGGTCTCCACATTGGCCAAGGAGTCCTGGCGGGAGTGAGGAAGCCAATACTGTCCAGGCGGCTGTCCCCTCCTCATCCCAAGCTATCTGCTTTCCCACCTAGAGCCATCTTATCAAACACCCATCCCCATGGCAAGTGCTCTGCCCACACACATCCCTCTAATTCCTTAAAGCCAGGCTGTATCTGGCTTTAAGACAGCAATTCTTAATCAGGGCAGGTACTGGGGATAAGGGTCAAATGTCAGAATTTCCAGGGTAGTGGAGCTTTTTCACATAACAGGAACACCCCCTCCTCTGCAGCCCCAGTAAGGCTACGTCAGCACAGTTCAGCTGAGCCCCTGATTACTCTCTGAGGTCTCCCATGAGTCAGGCTCACCTGCTGCAGGGGTTGGGACAGTGGCGGGAAAAGAAACCTCTGGGCATAAAGAAGTGAGGAGGGCAGAGGTGAGAAGGGTGGTGGGAAGAAGGCAAGAAAAGGTCAAGGGCCACACACTCCCTCTCTAAGCTCCAATGGCATTCCCTGGGGACATAGTCCAGGTCACAAGAACTGCTCATGATTGACGGGCAAGTGACTGCTCAGTGACCAGTGTGGTCGAGGCTGAGGAGATCCCCTTGGCCTGGGCAGCTCAGGCAGCACTGGCTGGTTTGATCCTGAACGCTGGTCTTGTAAACTCTCCCTCACTCCTGCCCGGCACCTACCCCCAGACCCTCAATGGCTGGGCAGGCTTCCTGGCTGCAGAGCCAACTTTCCATCTGCTCCACAGAACTCACAACCAGCTGTCAAGAAAGGAAAAGGTAAGAGGAAGTGAGCAGAGGGTCCAGTCACTGCAGGTGGAGTGACCCTATTGGCGGCCCAGTGGAGAAACCAGGGACCTTGGGCCTGGCTCAACAGAACAAGTCCACGGCAGGCAAGACTTGCTGCGGGCGAGCTGGGTGGTGGGTGGTGGGAAAAGCCCCTGGCACAGCAGCCTCTCTGGCTTTGGCTTTGGCCGGGGCAGTGGGGTGAGCGAGGCCCCAGGAGGTGGCGCAGGATGGAGGCTGCCCACCTGTAGCTCCAAGGCCTGCTGGAGCTGGAGCTGGTGTTCCTGCCAGGCCCCTTCCAGGCTGTTCAGCTCCTGGTCTAAATCAGCTAGGGCCCGACGGATGTCGGGGGTGGACGGGTGCCCAGCTGCAAGCAGTCGCTGCCCGGTGCTTCGGGCCAGGCTGATGCTGTCTGTTCGGGAGTCCAGCTCAGCCTGTAACAGGACTGGGCTCAGATCCCAGAGGCTGAGGCTGTCTCAATGGGAGGGAGGAGGCCCAGTGGGGAGGAGGGGAGTGTGGAAGACAGCCGAGGGGGTGGGATAGAAGAGAAGAAAGGCAGAGGCAGGCGACAGAGAAAGTGGGGACCCCAGTAAGGGAGAAGGCAGAGAGGAGGCAAGATCCCAGGAAAGGCCCAGGTCCCACCGCTCACCCGGTGCTCCTGGTGCTCCTCCAACAAGCGCCGGGCCTCCGTGGGGCTGCGGGGGGTGCCTCGGGCGTCCATCTCAGCCCGCAGCCTCCGGGCCCAGACCAGCAGTTCCTGCAGCACTGCCTGCAGTTTCTGACCTTGGTGCAGGGCATCTAGGCACTCCCTCCTGCCCACGGGGTTCATCAGCTAGCCCCAGGCCTCCGAGCCCTCTTTTCCCCCTGCGCCCCTCAGTGCCTTCTGTCCCTGAATCCCCCCAGCCAAAGAAGGGCCACGGGCTTGGAACTGGTGGGGTGACAACACAGATGGTTATTTGAAGGATGGAGAAAGACTCTCGGGGAAAACCAGGCCAAGGGGAAGTGTGGGGAGTGAGATGCTGCAGGGGAAGGTTGGGGGAGCCCCAGGGGCTTCATACCACTTCCGGGCCCTGCTCCGGAGTTGCCACCAGCTGTCCAACATCTCCCGCTGCTTGTGGCTGAGGCTGTGGGCTGCCCCAGGGCTTCTCTGGCAGAGGCGGCCCACCTCACGCTCTAGAAGCTGTGGCGGAAGCCAGGTCAGGGGCTTGTGCTCAGGGAGCCCCCAGCTGCAGGAGGCCCCCAGCCTGTGGGTGTATAGCTGAGTGGTCCTGGCTGGCTTTCGATGTCCTGATGCCCGCCAGCCCTCCTACAGAGGAGGTACCCTGGGCACGGGCCTACCCCCACACCCAGCTGCACACCTCCACCTGGGCCTGGATGAGGCCCATTTCCTGCTCCAACTCCTTGTGTTTCTGCAGCAGCCTCTGCACGCTCTCCAGATCTTTCCCGAAGTCCGGGCCCTGGATCAGGGCGGCCTGGAGAGGAATGGGGCGTTATACGCTTGGCCTTTGCTCCAGCTCCTCCCTAACTGCACAGGGGTCGCTGGCCGCAGAGTTTCTGTGTGGAAAGCACCCAGCCTGACTCCCTTCCCCGGGGCCCTCCACAGGCTGGGGCAGGGCGCTGGCCCTGACCAGAGGTCCCTTCTGTGCGGGAGGACGACTCCCAGAGAGCCTCGGGGCTGGAGTTTCCCCGGAGGTAGTAATCTGCATTTGTGTGAGGCTTCCACATACACTGTCTCGTTTGACTCTCCTTCCTTTGGGGGAACTGAGCCTGGACAGAGAGCCAGGCGTGGCTGGCTGAGGCAGGAACCAGAGGAGGAGGAACAGCCAGGCAAAGAGCCCTCTGCAGGCCAGGGACAGGCCACTGTCCGTGTCACAGGGGCTTCTCAGGCTGCGTTCACCCTCTTCACCTCTGCCTCTGCCAGCAGTTAGCCCACGTTTCTCTGTGGTTGCTACGCAATCCTGGGCAAACCTTCTGCGGGGCTGGGCTTGCCCAGGGACAACAGAGGAAGGGGATGCTCTGGCCTCTGGACCCACGGTGCTGCTGGGGGCAAAAGGAGTCAGGAGGGCCGGCCTCCGAGAGCCTGCAATGGGGTCTCCTACGGACCCCCTGACAGAACCCTGGCAGGACCAGCCTCCATGTTCCCCAGCTGCAGAGGAGAGGCAGGCGGGGGGGGCCTGTGGGAGACTCTGGGCACCCTCAGTCCCCTGGCTCACCGGCTGCCTTTGCTCTCTCACTGCTTACCTTCTCCTCAATCCGCTCGGTGACGTCATCCAGCTCTCGGGACAAGGAGTGTATCTCCAGGGCCCCTTCAAGCTGCCACTGGTACCGGAGCAGGTTGCCTTGGAAACTGTTCCACCTGGCACAGAGGGTGTAAGGCCGAGTCTGAGGTGGCCCTCCAGCCCCTCTCCCAGCCCCACTGCTTCCCCCCTCCAGGACGGGCCTGTTGTTGAGCTGGTGCCGCCGCTGGCAGATGGTCTTGACTTGCTCGGGGTCCCGGTTCTTGAGCCGCAGTGACCAGTCATTGATGCTCCTGATGTGGGTGTCATCCACCATGTCCTGTGGGGGTGCAGGGTGAGGGCATTGGGGACACCGGTTCTGAGCCCCTTCCTTTCACTGCAGTCAGCACTGGGAGGGTCAGCCTGGGCCCAAGAGAGCTCGAGGAACAGCATGTCTGGGGGGTGAAGGCCCACAACCCATCCCATGCCAGGTGCAGTGAGCAAGGTACACTCAGGACCTGCAGCCCCAGAGTTGGCTCCAAGGCAAGAAAATGCCCCAAGCAGGAGGCGGAGGGCAGGCATGCACTGATTAACAGAAGCTTTTCAAGTTAAAATGCAGCTTCTCGGGAGAAGAAGAGCAAAGAGAGGGGTGGAATGAAATGGGGGCTCGGGCCTCCTGGGGTTGAGGGGTCCCCAGCCCGGGGAGTCCCTGGGCTGAGGCTGCCACTGCTTAGACACAGTGTGGGGCTTACTGGTCCTCGGGGAGGGGCTCCCTGATGGGGTGGGATTGCAGGCTTCCTGCCCTTGATACAAGCACCTTGGGATTGTAGAGCTTGTTTAAATTTCCAAAGCCCCACCCTATGAAGAGTCTCATTCGAGGAGGGCAGGGAAGGGCATTTCTTTCCTTGTAAAGATGCAGGAGCGGAGCTCAGAGGCTAACATGGCCAATTTGTGGCAGAGCCAGGATTCGAGCCCAGCTCCTGAAGTCTGTCTGGCTCTCTCTCTACTACACAGTGGCTGTGAAATTCCACCAATCGCAAAGGAGATCTTAGATTGGAGCACTGCGGCTATTTAAAAATTCATACACACTTACATCAGGGGGCTGAGGTTAGCGTGTCTGGTCTCTAACAACTGATTGTGAACACATTTGTCCAATTTCTTTCCTCTATACCACATAAGGCAAGTAGATGTTTGGGTGAGGTGTGTGTGTGGGGGGTGTGGGGAGGAGGTGCTGCAGGAGGGTTACGAACAGCTGCAGTTTATTGATTACCCACTACATCCAGGGGGTATGTGCATTCTTTTTTTAATTCTGAAATAATTATAGATGCACAGGACATTGCAAAAGTAGTACAGAGAAGTCCCGTGTACCCTTCCTCAGCGTCCCCTAATGGTAACATCTTATGTAACACAGTACAATACGAGAACCAGGAAGGTGACATTGGTATAACTACTACCTAGATTACAGACTATTCAGAGTTCATCAGTTTCTACATGCACTCATCTGTGTGGGGGAGGTACAGTCTATGCAGTTTATCATATGTATAGACTAGTGTAACCACCACCACACACAGATGCTCTCTTACCTACGAGACAGGCGTTATCCCCACTCTAAAGATGAAGAAACTAAGGCTTGGTGAGATGAGGGAGCCTGCCTAGGCACGTGTGGGTAGTGAGCACAGAGCTGACACGAGAGCCCACATTTGGCTCCAGAGCCCATGCTCAGTCACTACTCTGAGCTGTATTTCCCAGTGGGGGGATGCACTGGACCCCTTCTCCCTGCAAGGCCCCCTTACCCCGGCCCAGACTCCCCGGAACCTGCGGAGGCGCCTGCGGAGCTGCAGGCAGTGCTCAAGGTCCTGGCCCAGGTCCCCGACGTTCACCATCACCTCCTGTGGAGGCCAAGGGTTGGGAAGGCAGCACTCTGAGCACTAGCCCCGGGGGCACCCAGCCCCCTGGCACCCTGCTGCTGGGGCAGTGTCGGGGCAGGTGGTGCCTCTGGGAGCTTCCACGTCCACCTCTCAGCCCCGCAGCCCCACCCCCAGCTCTGCCCCTGCCCAGCTGGGTCTCACCATCTCCTGGATCCAGGCCTCTGCAAGGTCCACTCTCTGCAGGAACTCCAGGAAGTTCCGCTTGTCCTCCAGGTCCTGGCCTCGGAGAGTCACCGCCTGCCCCAGCTTCTCCCAGTGCTCCCGCAGCGCCCGGAGTCTCTGTGAGACCTCTCCCACCTGGGGGTGGCTCTGCGCCAGGAGAGCCTCACCCTCCTGGGGAGAGAGGGGACAGGGAGATCTCGCCTGTCTCCCTTCCTCTTGCTTTTCTGCCATCACAGGCTTCCTCTGCCGAAGGCCTTTACCCTTGCCCATCCTGGAGTCCACACTTTGGGAAAGGCTGGGGCTGAGGGCCTGGCTGTTACCTTGGTGACAGAGGTTATGACCTCCTTATGGGCGTGGACCTCAGCTTCGAAGGCCCGGTGTTTCTGCAGGTGCTTCAACTTATCTTTCATGTCCCCAGGAGAGATTGGCTCTTTCAGCTGCTGGACCCGCTCCTGGATCCAGTCCTCAGCCTGGAGGTTGGAGGTGGGGACATGAATCCCACGATGCTGACACTGCCTCCGTTCACAGAGACGTCCCACACGCCTGTGCACGGGTAGCTGACTGCTGGCCCAGGGGCAGGGTTGGGCAGCACCAGGTAAATGAGATCCAATGATTCCCAGGATCTCAGCCCAGGAAGACATGTCCCAGGCCCAGCTAGCCCCCCAGACACAGGAAGGGGCTGGCAGAGCCCTTGGGTGGAACCTAATCTGGGAGTGAGTCTTGCCTGCTCCTGGGCCCTGGGCTGCTCTGCTCCCTCCGCCACCTCTTTTTGCCCTGGCCCTGCAAGAGCTCAGGAAGCAGTGGGGTCTCCACACACAGGGTCTTTGAATCAATTGTTCTGGGCTCCAGTATGGCCTCTGGGAAAGCCTTTTAACTCTCCAAACTTCCGTGTCCTCATCACAGGGCCGTGGTGAGGCCTGAATGAGCCGGTGAAGGTGAATGTCACCTGTAAATTGTGGTCCAAGTGGACGGCCCTGGGCTGGGGGCAGCCCTCTGACCTGGGTCGCGGCCCTGGTGAAGCTGGCCATCAGCAGGGAGGTGCGCAGGGCGTGCCCCCGGCTCTCCGCCAGCTCCTTCACTTGAGCCCGACGCTCCAGCACCGTGTGGAGCAGGTCCTGCGCCCGGGAGGCCCTGAGTGTCTTCACCTGCTCACGCAGGGCTGCCTCCTGTGGGCGGGAGTGGGGAGCACAGCCACTGTTCTCCCTCACCGGGAGCCTGGAGCAGGGGCTGGCCCGCAGGGAAGCCCTTCCCTCAGCCCTGTGTGATCTAGGGCTGGCCCATTCCCACAGCAAGCCAGAACCAAGCCTCTCAGCTCCCCAGTGACCACATGATCTGGAGCCAAGTGGCCACTGCATCCCTGCAGCATGGCCCACCCCATCCCGGGCCTCTTCTTGAGCCACACGTCCAACTCTGCTCAGTCAGCCCAAACCAGGAGCCCCTAGCCCCACAGGCCGCCCCCGTACATCAGCATTACCTGTGGTACACACCAAGCACCCGTGTCCCCCATGTAGGACTCTCCAACATTCCCAGACTCCGCCCACCGGCCCCCAACCCTGACCATGCCCAGGACTCCCTGAGCCCGTTACCTTCTCATCCTGGGCAGTCAGCACCTTCTGGAAGGTCTCATGCTTGCGGATCAACTGTTCCACCTCTTCCACTGAGCTCCCCAGGGCACTGGTTTTCAGGGAAACCTGGATCAGCCCGTGGAAAGTTAAAGGCCATCAAAGACTGTCCAGACAGCCAGCACTCCCACCCCCTTTGCAGCCGTCTGTGCTGAGGCAGTGCACCGCCTGTGTGCCCCACATCACAGAAGAAGCCACGGCCCCAGGAAGCAAGGAAGCGAGTGGGGAGAGGGGAGACAGGGAGAAGAGGGAGTGTGAGGACATGTGTTGTGGGGTGAGGGGAACCTGCCTCCTGGGCCGTGAGGATCTGGTCTAGGTGGCCACACTTTCTGAGGAAGAGCTGCTCCCGGTGCATGGCCTGCAGCCTCTCCTGCTTCCGTTCCCAGGCCTGGAACACCTGCTCCCGCTCATCCTGCAGGGCTTGCAGCCCTTCCTGGACCTGGGGATGGGCATGGGGGGAGCCTGCACTGGGGAGAGCCATGTGGACAAGATGGAAGCAGATCCTGAGGGAAGCCTCCAAGGAGAGGCCGGTGTGGCATGGTGGTGCAGGGTGTGAGGTGATCAGGCTCAGCCTAGGTCAGGGTAGGCTGGGGGGCACCAGAAAAGGGGGCCCACCTCCTTGATGGGTGTCTCTGCAGCCAGGAGCGCCTGCTGGCCCAGCTGGGTGGCCTGCTGGTGCAGCTCCTCCTGGGCCTCGAGCTCTGCCCGAAGCTGTTGGTGGGCACTGAGCTTTAGCAGGTCACTGCTGGGCTCCTGGGAAGTCTCCTCCGCCTGAAGCTCCTGCCACACACCAGCTGCCCAGGAGGCATAGTCCTGCACCTGGATCCCAGGGAGACAGAGGGAGAGAGCTGGGTGAGGACTAGGCTGGGCTGGGCAGCAAAGAACCAGGCTTCGAGACACAACTACAGCTGGCCTGGATCTGCTCACACATTGAAGCAGCCCGAGCTGTCCCAGGTCAGAGCCTCAGGTGAGGCTCACAGGGTCTTTTGTCACCTGGTTCCTCCATTGTCATCCAACCCAATCTTCCCAGGTCCACTAAACTTCCACACGTGCCAGACCAGCCTCCTTGTCACCCTCACCAAGACTGATCTCCACCCTTTGCTTTTGAGGCCTCTCCTGTCTAGAAGTTCCTTCTCCTTCCTTCCATCTCTTCCAAGCTCACCTGTTCTTCAAGGGCCAAGGCCTTCTTTGCCCCATGAAGCCTTCCCTGGCTCCTTGACATCTCATTGCTCGCCTTGTCCTCTGGATTTCCAACTTAATACTTACAAACTGTCTTCTGTTGATTTGTGTACAAACACGGTGTTAGAGCTGGAGGGGCCTTAGATCCTTGTCGAAATATCTCATTGCTTAGGTGAAGGGTAAATGGCACAATGTGTGTGAAAGAGTTTTGTAAACTCTAGGCACTCACAACCAGGAGGTAACAACCTAGGGATAGCGGCCTTGCTCAAACTCACACACTAGAAAGTGGCAGAGGTGGGTCTCTAAACTCAAGCCTTTTTTCAGTGTCATAGTTTGGGCCTCCTGGTCTACCAGGCCCCAGAACATGGGGACTCCTGGGACACCCCGTGGCCAGGGCCCACTCTCCCAATCTGACTCTCCGGGGTCTTAGGCTCATCTCACCAGCTAGATAGGCTCTATGAGGGCAGCGATTCCATCTTACATAGCTTCTATACCATCCTCCTCTCTCCACCCACAGCTCCTAGCAGACAGCTAAATATAGATGTTAAATAGATGCTGGTTGACCCAGAGGTCACTGTCTAGAACATTTGAGTCTTCAGTTATAGGATTTTTGGGCTGTTTTCACTCCTCAGTTCCGGCTGGGACCCCTGTCTCCTGACTGCCCTGTTATTCACCCTGGCTGGCATTGACCCAAACCTCAGGTGTCCCTGCTATGTGCCACGTGCTCAGCCCTCTGACTAGCCAGCCTGACATGCGGACATGCCCATGCTCTTCCAGCTCGTGTCCACACTTGTTTTCCCTCTGGAGCTGGAGGTTCTCATTAGTGCATGCACATGCACGGTATAACAAACACACGCGTGCGTGCACCTCCCAAGGGGAAGGAGCCCTCACCGCCATGTGGAAGCGAGCCAGGAGGCGTGCCTGCTCCAGCTGGGTCCTGCGCTGCTCCATGTGTAGCTTCAGGGCCTCCCAGGCCTGCACCAAAGCCTGCTGCCTCTGCTGCACTGCACGGGCCTGAGGCCCCGGACCCAGCTTCTGCACCGTGCTTCCAGTCTCCAGCAGCACCTGCAGCTGGGGTCAGGGTAGGGCATAGGGAGGGAAGGGTCATGTCCTCCTAGGTGCTGAAGGGCCTGCCCCTCCCCCAGACCCCTCCTTGGGCCATTCCTCCCAGACACATTGGGCCCAACTGGAGGCCCAAGGGAGTATGGAAAATCTAGAAGAGTAGATGGGCAGGCCTGAGGGGGCCTGATGCAGCCAGACCTGGGCTCACCTGCTGCTCAGTGCCCATGAGGTCATGCTCCAGCCTCTCGTGTCTCCTCAGCTGGGCCTCCAGCCCACGTAGGTCCTGGGCCACATCACTGGGGAGGCTTGTGGCTTTCTCCTGAGGAGAGGAGATTGCCAAGAGGATCAGGAATGGAGGGTGGGGCACTGAGTCTGGGGTGGATCCACTTCTAGAAAGAATCCCCTTCCTCCCCCCAGGCTCACACCTGGACCTGGGTGAGGGCTTCCCACAGATCTCTGTGAACTCTGAGGGTGACCTCGGCGTCTTGGAGCAGGCGGCCTTGGGCCTGGGTCAGCTCCCACAGCTCCGACCAGGCAGCCCTGTTCCCAGGTGAGCGGGAGACCAGCAGTAGATCAATCACTGACCCCACAACCTCGTTCCACCCCCTCACTAGGTCTGGTCAGCTCTCTCCTTTCAGGGCTGCATCCAAAGCTCGGTCCTGCTGCAAACCTTCCTCCCTGGAGCCTGGCTCTCCAGCTTTACTATGAATCCAGTTCAGCGCTGCTATCATGCTCAGCACTGAACTGATTCCTGTGCTTTGTGATAATCCTCACATCTGGTGTGTCCCTGTATCAATATGTCAATCAGATTACAAACGTTCGAAGGCAGAGGCCCCTCTTCTCTCTGTGCCTCATTTACTCAGCCCACTCTCCCTGAGCTCCTAAGGCTTCTGCCAGGGCAGGCTCCATGCTAGGGGTTATGGACAAGTCATGACCGTGCCTCAGAGCTCACAGGCTAGAGGGGATTCAAACCAGCTGGGTGGGCAGCTAGGGAGTCCTCCCACAGCTCCTCCTCCAAGGCCTGGGAGCCTGTGGTTTGGAAAAGTGCCCCTGGGGGTCTGGGCAGGGCTCTCTGACCTGCACAGCCAGCCTCGCCTGCCTTCACAGGCCTCGGCCACCTGTGGCAGGCTTAGTTTCTCTGGAACCAGCCCTTCTCCAGATTCCTCAGGGCAGGCAGAGCCACTGAGGCCCTCGGAGCATGCTGCCCTCTCCTAACACTCCAGGACCTGCCTGCCCAGCACGTTCCCCCAAACCCATGCCCCTGGTCTGGCCTGCTGGGCACTCACTGCAGATCCTGCTGCCTCTGTTGGGCCTGGGGGGCAGCGCTGTGCCCACGCTCCAGCAGGTACTCCGCCAGCTGCTGGCAGGCTGCCACCTGCTGGCCGCCCAGCTCCACTTGGCGCTGAAACTTTGCAAACTTGGTGCAGAGGTGCTGAGGAGAAGAGGGGAATAGGTGACAGGGTGGGCCCCAGCTGGTGAGGCAGCGAGCAGCTTGGGAAGTGAGGCACCTCAGTGACCATTTGGGCACCGTGGGGTTGGGCGGCCGCAGTGCCTACCCGCTCTACTCAGATGGCCTGTCCTCAGCCAGGGCTCATGGCTCCCACGGCCCCCTTCTCCACACAGCCCTGCCTGGCCAGGCCCCCTCGCCCCAGGGCTCTGCCTCAGGGCTTTCTCCTTGCCCCAGCCCCCTCCTCACCAGGACCTGCTCGTGGTCCTCTCCGAGGCTCTCTCCTCTGGCCACCTGCTTCTGGCTAGCCAGCCAGCTCTGCAGCTCCTCGGCCTCCCTCATGAACTTATGCAGCTTCAGGGTCCCCTCCAGTTCCTGATCCCTGTGGGATAGCCCGTGGTTCCCCACAAGTTAGCTGCCCAGCCCCCTGGGGATGGCTGGCTCAGCCAAAGGGGATGACCTGAAGGAGGTTATTCATGGTCTCTGCCCAAGCCTGCGGCTCTGGATTCAGGGAGAAGAAAACTCAGGAAGGCCAGTGGAGGGCAGGTGAGGGTGTGGACGTGGGAAGAGATGGAAAACTTGGAGTTGGGGTTCTGAGTTCCTGCCCAGAGGGTCCTCAGTGAGGAATTTATGGAAAGAGGTGAGCAACACACAGCAAGGCCTCATCTGACACATCTCTACGGGTCTGGGGTCGTGGGTTTCTTCCAACTCAGGGTCATGGTATGGGAACAGTAAACCATGGCTAGGCCCCCTGTACCCAGAGGGGGTACAATGGCCCTCACCGTGTGGCTGCCAACTCCTGCAGCGCCCGCAGCTGCTCCCAGAGCCTCCTTTGTACCACACGCAGCTGCTCAGGGGCCTCAGGGCCAATGAGGGTTTGGGCCCTTTGGTCAAGCTTCTCCATGGAGCTCCAATAAAGAACCAGTTCCTGCTGCAGAGCCTGCCAGCACACAGGGATCCATGCCAGGCTCTGACTGGGTGACTCATTCATCTATCCATTCATCCATCCACCCACTTGTCCCTCCACCCATCCACCCATCCATTCACCCATTGATCCCACACCCATCCATCTACCCCCTTCCACTCATCCCCCACCTATCCATTCACCCATCCATCTACCCATCTACTCACCCATTGATCCACCCATCCATCATCCACCTGCCAACCCATCCGTCCACCCACACATCCATCATCCACCAACCCAATAGTGATGGAGTTCTTACTGTTCCCTAAAAGTGAAGACATGGTCTGTGTCCTCAGAGGGATCACTATTTAGCAGGGAAGGGTGAATGCTGGGTAATCTGGGCTAAGGAAGGGAGGGCACAGGAGGTACTGTACTGGACCCCAACATCAAAGTATAAGAGACGGACAGAGTTAAGCAAGTTTCCCAGGATGCCTGGGACACTGAAACTCCATGAGGCCACGGTTACAGGCACACTCCATAGGAATGGCTCACTGAAGTCCTCAGTCACAGGACCCTGGAACACTGACCACCAGGGCTACACAGGAAACATGCCCAGACAAGAGGACATCTCAGTGACAACAGGAACCAGGATTGCTGCGGTCCAGGCTTTGGAGCTGGTGTGGTCCTGAGTCCGATTCCAGGAAGGAGGAGAGTATTCCATGCCTCCCTCCCTTTAATCAGGGGATGCTCATGGCAGGGAGGGAGGTTTCAGGAAGGGCATTTGGTTAACTCAAAGGATGATATTCTAAGCATGGGAGGAAGAACCCTGTGGCAGATATGGAGGGAGCTAGAATAGGTGACCCCAAGAGAGGAGAAAGTGCCAGGGGAGGAGCGGAAGCAAGGAGGGAAGGCAGAGAAATCCCGAGGCCACAGGGGTGTAGACTACTACAGATACTAAAGAAGGTGGATGCCTTCTTCCAAGGGGTTGTCTCGAAGAAGGGGAGCCCTGGGGATGAGAAGAGGCCCTGCAGGATTGGCTGGGTGGTGGGGAAGGGGCTGGCTGTGTCTTCAGGAAGAAAGAGTAGGGCTTCGTGCCACCAAGCAGTAGGATATCCCCTTTGGGTATGTAACAGACCCTTTCCTCATGGCCCATCACTGCCCAAGTTCAGACCGAGTGGGGGATTCTGGGGACATGGTACCTCATGCTTCTTAATGAGCCTGAGAGTGGCTGCCTCGTCTCTGCCATAGTCCTGACTGCTCACCAGCAGCCACTTCTCCTCCACCCAGTCCTCCAGCTCTGATGCATCCAGAAAATACTGCCAAGAATGGTGCCAACTCACCTCAATGATCTCAGATGCGACCCTCCATCACCCCACGGGGACATCATGCTAGGTTCTCCAGCAGCTAGCACAAAGAGGCTTCTGTGCCCATATGGGGACCAGCCAGCTCCTGGCCTGGAGCTCTCATCACTGACCCCCCTCCCTGAGAGTCCCAGGTCCCACAGACCTCACTCACAGAGCATGCCTGGCTTTTGCCACTTCCCCTGACCCTGTGCTCTCTGCATCCTACCTGCTGGAGAGCGACAGCCCGCTGCAGGCACTGGGCCCATGCCTCACACGCCTGCTCCAGCTCTGCCCAGCGGCCTTCTAGCTTCTGGCACTGCTCCATGATGTGCTGGGTTTGGGGGTGCCCTGAGGCTGCTAGGCTCCGTCCGGAACCCAGCAGCTGTTGCATCTGACCGTGGTGGGCTTTCACCTCTGCCCGGAGCTCCTGCCACAGAACAGCATGAGAGGCTGCTGCCTCCGAGATTCCCCTAGCCACTGGAACAGAGCCATGGATGCAGCTCTGGGCCCCAATAGTGGCAAAACTCACAGGCAGAGAATAACTGGGGCAGAGATTTGGAAATCAGGACACCCTGAGTAGCAGAAGAGGAATTCTAAGGTCTGAATGGGAAGTCAGGGATCCTGAGAAAAAAAGGGGGCCATTACCTCGTGCTTGTGGTGAAGGCTCTGGGTACCATCCAAGCATTTGGTGGAGCTGGTGGAGCTGGCACTGGGCATGTGCTCAGCCACCCACGTGAGCTCCATGTTGCTCAGGTGGTAGAACTGGTACAGCTCAACCGAGGCCCGCAGCTGCAGTCGCCGCATGGCCAGATGTCCCTGCAGGGACTCAAACCTGGGTAGAGGCAGAATAGGTGAGGTCAAACTCTCAGTCTTTTCCTTGGCCCTGTGAAAGATGACATGAGTGGCGCCATATTGAAATAGAGCCAGAGCTGCCACTTCTGAGCAATTGCCTTGCATGTCTTGTTTTCTTTATCTTCCAAACTGGACCAAACCACCAACATTCCAAGAAGTCAGTAAGGACAAGAATATCCTGTCTGTAAGGACTGATGAAACTGGACTTTGCTGATGACTGAATCTCAACCAATCAATGACACACAAGTCTAGCCTTTTGCCTGATGACCGAATATCAAGCCAGTCTATGAAGTAAAAACCCAGCCTTACCTCATCTAGCACCAATGAACTCTTCTTTAATACAACTCACCTCATCCTCCCTTTTTCCATAAAATCCCTGAGCCCCTCTCCTGTCATTGGGAGACTATTTGGGTTTCTACCCGAATCTGTGCTCCCCGAAGTGTTATTCTTTGATCCCAAATAAACGCTTTGCCTCTTAAACTGGTTTCTGTCTTTGTAGGTTGATAGGCCAGTCAGGGACCCACGAGGAACAAAGAAGGGGATGAGGGAAAGCTTCACCTGACGAGGGGGAGGCAGCTGCAGAGGGCGCAGGCCCAACCTCCCGCCCACATGACCCGCCTGACTTCAGATTGTGAGGTACTTAGAATGCCTAGTTGGGGATCTCAGGCCCTCCTACCCCAGGGAGGACTCTACTCATAAGGGCAGAAGTTTTGACAACCTCGGGTCCTGGAGGTGCCACTCTGCTGGGCTCACTGGGTGAAACTGCCCTTATGTTCACATTAGGGGGTGACACACAGTGGGGTAAACATGGAACAAGCAGGTGAGCACCTCTGGAGGTACTTTTGGATCTCCTCCACGATGGTTTGGGAACTGATCACGCAGTGGGCCTGGGAGACAAGGGCAGCCATCTTCCCGGCCAGTGCCTGGCTCTCATCCTCCAGCTGGTGGTGCTGTTTCAGCAGCCTCTGGCTTGAGCACAGGTCCTGCCCTGTTTCTGCGCTCTGCAGGGCCCCCTCTAGCTGCTCCATCTTCTCCTTGGCATCCTGGGGAGGGTTGCAGGGCACTGCATTAGGCTCTCCACGTATGGGCTAGTGAGTGGTCCTTCTTGGGCTCTAAGGCTGCAGCGCTGGTAGCACACCAGATTCACCAAAGCCTTATTGGGGACCTCTGTCCCCACCATTGCCCACCCCCCACCAGTGGTGCCCAAACCTTCCCCTAGAGCCCCACGAATATTCCATCCCCTTCTTCGTCCCTGGGGGATTCAAACTGTGCTGCTCCTATACCGGGCACACAGGAGACAATCCTGTATTGGCCTATTGGTGGGTAAAGCTAGGCTCAGAGGCCTCCAAAGGCTGCAGGTCTCCCCGTACTGCTCCCAAGTCAGCAGAACCACCAGACTCCTCCCTCCCCTTCCCGTCCTGCCTGTTCCCAGCCCAGCCCAGCCTCAGTCTCCCTCCTGTGCCCTGCCCCTCTCTTTGGCCGACCTGCAGCAGCCCCCGGAGCTGGTCCTGCTGCCCAGCCTGCCGGAGCTGGTCCCCACGCTCTGCCATCTTGAGGTTCAACTCTTCCCACTTGCTCCTCAGGCCCTGAAGCCTGGTCTGCACGTCCTCCTGGGCATGGAGCCTGCTGCCCAACAGCTCTCTCCCAACCTGCAGTGGAGACAAAGGCCAGGGAGCTTGTTGAACTGCTGGTACCCTGAGCAGCCACAGCAGGCTGGACCCAGGTGGCAGAGGTGGCAGGTGGCCGGCTACAAGCTGCATTCCACAGGCTGTAAGGGCTCAAGTGATTCACGTGGCCCCAAATCTGTGGCCAGAGGCAGGAGGGCCTCCCTCTGACACCAGTGAGTAGGACAGAGTGAGCGGGCATCAGGCTGCTGCTGGGGAAGAGGGATGTTCAGGTGGTGGCAGCAGGCTCTGGAGCTGGCCCCAGAGGTGAGGGGACGGGTGCCCAGCTAAGTGAAGGAGGGCGGGTGGTGGAGGAGGAAGCTGGAAGATCCTCATTTCATGGTAACCTAGGTTAAGTCTTCCTTCAGTGAGTGTGTCCCATGAAAACATGCCATGCAGCTGGGCTGGGAATTTGAGGACGAGTAGGCCCTGCACCCGCTGCCCAGCACCCCCACCTGCTGCAGGCCCTGCACGTGCCCACGGGTGGCCAGCAGCTCGCGCTCAGCTGCTTCGTGCCACTTGAGTTTCCGCAGGATGTTGCTGGGCCCTGGGGAGAGCTTATCTGCCACCAACAGCCACTTCTCCTCCATCCACAGCATCAGCTCCGCCACGTCCTGCTTCCATTCCTGCCCAGGAAATGGGAGAGAGTGGGTCTCACAGACCAGGAGTGAGGGCTGGTGCAAGGACCTCTAAGGGAGAGGGGTCTCAAAGACCCCCGTGGGGAAGGTCTGGACCCAGAGCCAGTCCTGGGGTGTAAGACAGGTGGGGTTGGGGTCACTGCTCCCAAGTGGAGACAGGGAAACCAACATTGGCAGGGGAACAGTAGGAGGAGGCCTGGGGAGCCAGGGCCTGGGCCCATGGTGCCCTGCGCCCAGAGAGGGGGAACACCTGGTCAGTCCCCCTACTCTGGTCACATCAGGTCACGCCTGACCAACTCTCCAAACAGGCTGAAGCTCCGGGAGGCCTGTGCACTGGCCCAGCTCTGAGGCCCTGTGGGGCTGAACAAATATCTGACAGAGTCAGGGTCTATAGCTGGTGCCCATGGCCCACGCGAGAGCCAAGAGTGTGGCCAGAAACGACAGGGAAGGAGAGTACCTGGATGAGGGAGGGCAAGTGGGTTATTCAAGACTTTGGGCCCAGCCCTGCCTCTGAGCAGTGTGGCCTCAGCCTCAGTTTCCCTCATCTGGAAAAATCAGAGCCACAATACCTGTCTCACAGGAGGTGCTGTGAGGGTCAGTGATGTAATGTGTGGGAAAGTGTTCTGTAAACTGTAAAGTGCTCTGCGTAGTGCACAGTTGTTCATGCAGCAGTGGACTCTTAGGCATTCCTCTCAGGAAGGCCTCATGCACCTGGCCCGTCCCTTCACCTGGAGCTGGAGGGAAGCCAGCAGTTGTCTCTTCCTCTGCTCACTCCTCTCCTGGACCCTGGTCCACTGTGCCTGGACGCTCTGCAGCTGCCCTCTGACCCTGGAGGGCAAGTGGAGGGGGGCAGGGGGTGAGGAGGGGTCCACTCTGCCCGAGGCCTACCCTGAAGGTTGGGCCCATCGATGCCCAGGGTGCACCCCCGTCCTGCCACTCCCCATGCACTCTCCCAACCTCAGGGCAACAGGCTGTGCAGGCTGAGAAAGAAAGGGGGGCAGGTGCTGCCCACACAAGCCCAGCCTCACCTGTGTGCAGCAGGGTGTTGGCTCTGAGCCAGCTTCTCGCCACATGCCCGCAGAGCCTCTGCCTGAGGGCCAAGGGTGCCCAGGAGCCGCCCAAACTCCTGGTGCTGCTGCAGCAGGCTCTGCGCGTCCCCCACGTCCTCCTAGGGGTGCAGAGACCTGGGGTCATGCCTGGGAGGATGGGGGTCTGCACCATCTCACCCACTGCTGGCCCAGAGACCTCCCACCCAGCCTGGCTTCTAAGCTCCCTCCAGAGACAGGAAGCAGCACCTAGCTGCACATTGCTGGCTCCATACCCCAAGGCTGTCCAGCTGCAGGAAGGCCTCGCGGTTGGCACAGGTGGCAGTGAAACCATCCACTTCTCGGCTGAACCTCTGCAGCTCCAGCCCCTCCTGCAGCCGCTGCTGTCTCTGCTCCCAGGTGGCCTTCAGCTCCCGGCCTTGCTGGCCCAGGAGCCTCAGAGCACTGGCCACCTCCTGGGAGTCCGGGGAGTCCAAGGCTGCCAAGGGCTGGCCCTGAGCCTCCAGCTGCTGCAGCCTGTCCAGGACGACAGGCAGAGGGTCAAACCTTGTCCGCTCCTCTCACTGACCTTCCTCCCCTCTCGCCTCCATGGTCATTCCTTTTGGAGCTCTGATGGAAGGGTAACCGGTAGGGGTTCAGAGGCTGCTTAGCCCTGTTGGTTCACTCGTCCCATGGGACAGCTGTGCCCTGGCCCACTGGCGAGACACTGAAGGTAACGGGCCCAGCACAGAACTCAGGACTCAGTAAACCCATGCTCCCTGCCATGTCACACCCTCGCTCCAGTGGGCCATCCTAACGGCCAATGCCCAGGCAAGTAGACAAGCTGAGGCAGCACAACACAGAAAAATCGCTCACACCATGTACATGCCTGAGCGCAGGGCCACTGCCAGCCCAAGTGGAGCCTCGAGCAATTAGCAAAGGCACCCACTCCTCTCAGCCTGTTGCAGCCCAAAGGCACACAGCTTGGGAACAGGTAACACCTTTGAGTGAATTAGAAAAAGGCTCCACTTCCTCTGAGCTGTTGCAGCCCCGAACCAGGCAGGAGAGTGTGGTGAGCAGAGGATGGAATGGATTCAGTGCCCGCTCGGCCACCTGTCAGGCCCCCTCATGCAGGGCACAGCCTGCAGACTGTACTCGGCGACACTGCCTGCCTGACAGACCTGCCCCATCATTCCTGCAGGAGGAGAGGCATCGCCATACTGAGCAGGGGGGTGTCTTAGTCCCATGGGGGTCCTGAGCCATTTGACTCCAGGGGCCGGTGGGGTCTGCATTACCCAGAATGGCCGGGGAGGCTAGGCTGCCCTGACTGAAAGCAACCCATTAGGCTCACCTGGATGGGGTATGGCCAGCCCTGGACTGGACAGAACCTTCCAGGAAGCTCAGACTCTGCCCTAGGTCTCTCTTCAAAGTATGCAGGATGCCTGAGAAGTCCTCAGTTACATCCCTCTCCTTGAAAACCTCAAGCACCATGCCGGACACCAGCCTAGGCCGGTCCCCTGGGTGATGCACTGCTTCCTGATTCTTTCTTTTGGGTGGCCTGTCCCCACAGGCCTTGGCCAGTCTAAAGCACGCTCTGTCTGCCCTCCTGTCCTGACCTCTCCTGCTGCAGGTGTATCTCCTCCAGCAGGTCTTGGTGCTCCATCAGCAGCCGCTGGGCTGAGGCCACGTCCACCACTTCCTCCTCACTGTGCAGCTGAGCCCGGACACCCTCAGCCCACAGCAGCAGTCGCCGGCTTTCTTGCAGGAAGCTCTGCCGGGCCCGCGCCTCGGTCTGGGCCTGGGCCTGTTGGGCCACTTGTCGCTGCGCTCGCTCCAGCAGCCCCTGCAGCATCTCCACCTGCTCTTGCAGGGTCTGGCTCTCTGCGGGGCCCGACTCCTCGACTCTGGGAGACGGGGCCCACCGCCCAGTCAGTGCCCTGCCCTAGGCTCGGTGCCCAGGCCTGTGTTCCCCAGGGAGTGGTGGCGACTCTGAACTCCCACTTCACTCTCAATTTAGGGGCAGCAAACCTTCACGGCTCCCCTTTCCCCACAAGCATGTTCTCACACTGTTCCCCCATCATTGCCCCTGCTCTTCAGACAGCACATCCTGCCCATCCTCCCCACCCCAATTTCTGTCCCCTCTCTCATTCCATAACCCTGCTCAGGCCTTTCCTGCCTCCCATCACTGGGCCAGACCCAGGCCGTACTTGATGGCCACCCTCTGCAGGTAGTGGATGCTCCTCTCTAGTGCTAGCATCTTCTGCTGGGCCAGTTGTAGGACATGGTGGCTGTCCTCGGAGCGCCCCGGCTCCAGGGCTTCCAGCTGGCGTATCACACCTTGCAGCTGGACCTGTGTGGATCCACACTCCTGCAGAAAACTGCACACGTCTGTGGTGTGCACCAGCTGCATTTCCTTCTCTTTCTTCAGGGCCTCCAGCTGCCCCCACCTGGGCAGGGGGAACAGGGATGTCTCCATCACAGGGACACCTCTCCGTTCATCCTAGGGCCTTGGCCAGAGGCTCACATGACAGACACTGGCGGGCTGGCTGTCCCCACACCTTCTCCTCCCTGTCTCCGACATGTCCAGTCTTTCCTCCTGGCAACATGGGAGGCAGGCGAGCAGGCATCCAGCCTGTGCCCATTGCCCTGCACTCCCTCCTCATTCTCACCTCCGGCTCAGTTCCTCCTGCTGTCGCTGGATTTGGGGGCAGTCTCCAGGACATCTCTGCTTCAGCTGCTCAGCAGAACTGCTGACCTCAGCCCAGCGGCTCCTTCCCACGGCCAGAGCAGAGAGGAGGTTCTGGGGAAAGGAGGACCCAGGGCTTGAGGGGGCTTTTTCTCTTCCCACACTCTCCACAAGACTACAAATGACCTCAGACATGCTCTGCTACAGAGATGGTTGAGCTGCAACCCTCTGGAAGGACGGGGATCTGCGTCCCTATGCAGAGATGGGATGCGAGGGGAGGGCCCTTTAAAAATTCAAGGCCAGGCATCCAAATTGGAAAGGAAAGAGTAAAACTGTCACTATTTGCAGACGACATGATATCATACACAGAAAACCCTAAAGACTCCACCAAATAACTATAATTAATAAACGAATTCAGTAAAGTTACAGGATACAAAAATCAATATACAGAAATCTGTTGTATTCTACACTAATAATGAACTATCAGAAAGAGAAATTAGGAAAACAGTCCCATTCACAACTGCATCAAAAAGAAATAAAATACCTAGGAATAAATTTAACCAAGGAGGTAAAAGACCTGTACATTGAAAACTACAAGCCATTGATGAAAGAAATTGAAGAAAACACATACAAACGGAAAGATATTCCATGTTCACGAATTGGAAGAATTAACATTGTTAAAATGTCCATACTACCAAAAGCAATCTACAGATTCAATGCAATCTCTACCAAAATTCCACTTTTGAAATTTTTCATAGAAATAGAACAAATAACCCTAAAACTTGTATGGAACCACAAAAGATCCTGAATAGCCAAAGCAATCTTGATAAAGAAGAACAAAGCTGGAAGCACCACACTCCCTGATCTCAAACTATAATAGAAAGCTATAGTAATCAAAACAGTATGGTATTGGCATAAAAACAGACATATAGATCAGTGGAACAGAATAAAGAGCCAAGAAATAAACCCATGCATATATGGTCAATTAATTTACAACAAAAGAGCCAAGAATATACAATGGGGAAAAGACAGTCTCTTCAATAAATAGTGTTGGGAAAACTGGACAGCCACATGCAAAAGAAAGAAACTGGACCACTATCTTACACCACACACAAAAATTAACTCAAAATGGATTAAAGAATTGAATGTAAGACTTAAAGCCATAAAACTCCTAGAAGAAAACGTAGGTGGTAAGCTCCTTGACATCGGCCTTGGCAAGAGTTTTTTTGGTTTTACACCTAAAGCAAAGCAAAAATAAAGAAGTGGGACTACAACAGACTAAAAACTTTCTGCACAGCAAAGGAAACTATCAACCAAATGAAAAGGCAACTTACAGAACGGGAGAAAATATTTGCAAATCATATCTCTGAAGAGAGGCTAATATCCAAAATATATAAAGAACTCATACAACTCAATAGCAAAAAAACAATCTGATTAAAAAATGGGCAGAGGATCTGAATACACATTTTTCCAAGGAAGATATACAGAAGGCCAACAGATATATGAAAAGATGCTTAATATCACTAATAATTAAGGAAATGCAAATCAAAACCACAATGAGATATCACCTCACACCTGTTAGAATGGCCATTATCAAAAAGATAAGAAATAAGTGTTGGCGCGGATGTGGAGAAAAGGGAGCCCTTGTGCACTGTTGGTGGGAATGTAAACTGGTGCAGCCACTATGGAAAACAGTATAGAGGTTCTTCAAAAAATTAAAAATAGAACTACCATATGGTCCAGCAATTCCACTTCTGGGTATTTATCCAAAGGAAATGAAAACACTAACTGGAAAAGATATCTGCACCCCCACGTTCATTACAGCATTATTTACAATAGCCAAGACATGGAAACAACTTAAGTGTCTATCAATGGATGAATGGATAAATAAAATGTGGCGTGTATACACATACATATACATATATATACACACACACACATATATACATACACACATACAATGGAATATTATTTGGCTATAAAAAAGAATGAAATCTTGCCATTTGGGACAACATGGATGGACCTTGAGAGCATTATGCTAAGTGAAATAAGTCAAACAGAGAAAGACAAATATCATGTGATTTTACCTATACGTGGGATCTAAAAAAAAAAAAAAAAGCTCATAGATACAGAGAACAGACTGGTGGTTGCCAGAGGTGGGGAGTGGGGGAGTGGGCGAAATGGGTGAAGGTAGTCAAATGGTACAAACTTTCAGTTATAAAATAAATAAGTCATGGGGATGTAATGTACAGTACACCCACTGTAGTCAATAATACTGTTAGCATACTTGAAAGCTGCTAAGAGAGTAATCTTAAAAGTTCTCATCATAAGAAAAAAATTCTGTGACTATGTATGGTGACGAATGTTAACTAGACTTGTGGTGATCATTTCACAATATATACAAATATCAAGTCAGTATGTTGTACACCTGAAACTAACATAATGTTGTATGTCAAGTATACCTCGATAAAAAAACAATTCAAGGCCAGCTCCCTCGCTCCCTCTTCTGAGACAGGACTATAGTTAATGCAGAGAGCTGAGGAACAAAGGGCAGGCAGGAGCAAGGTGAGGAGGGAGAAGGATGGGAATAAGCCGGGGCAGCAGGACAAGCAGCGGAGACCCCCTCAGCTCCCAGGGCGCTGTACCTCATATCTGAGCTGCATGACCTCCACGTTGTCGGCCTGGGGCTGCAGCGTTAGGAACAGTGCTGTCTGGTTTTCCAGCCAGGACTGGAGCTCCCCACACGAGCCATAGAAGCCAAACAGGGCCACTGCCTCCTCCAACCGGGCCCTGCGGTGCTGAGGAGGGGCCGGCCCGGAGGATGGGGTGAGGGTCAGTGCCCTTCATGGAGTGCTCAGAGCAGGTCCCCATCACCCCGCAACACAGGGCCCAGGGCCAGGGCAGAGAGGGCCCTATGTCCGCCGTCAGGGGTGCAGGAAAGGGAGCTGGCAAGAGCTTAGCTCGGGGTAAGGGGCCCTGGCAGTGGGCTCATCTGACCTTGTCCTTTCACACCATTTGGCTCTAAGGTACAACCCACACACCTCCCATGGGACTGGCCCCGCCTGCTGGCCCACCCCCTCTCCAGGCTCTTCCTCTACCCTCTGTGTCCCCTCTGTCCTCCAGGCCTCTGGCCTTCACTCCACTAGGACTCTTTCCCGCCTTTGCATAGGTCCTGCCTAGAACACTGTCCCCTGCCATCTCCTCTGCCCTCCTCCTGGCTTTCCCTGCTCTCAGCTTCTTGTTGTTCAAGTCTCAGCCTAAATGTCCTTCCCTCAGAGACGCCCTCTGTGACTCCCCAGCCAGACCTGGGCTCCCCCCTCACATGCTCCCATCACACCCACATCTGTCTCATGACTTGTTTCATGTCTTCTTTGCCAGGAAGTAAGCTCCTTGAGGGCAGGGAGCACATCCAGTCACTGCTCTGTCCCTGGGCTCACGGTTCAGGGTCTACCACGGAGCAGGTGCGCCATGAACATTTCTTGAACCAGGAGTGTTACCTCTGCCAGGGCCCGCAGGGCCTCATAATCCTGGCTCAAGCAGTCCTGCATCTGGAGTATGGTGTTGGGGTCAGGCTCAGCCGGAAGGGCCATCTTCTGGGTGTCCCAGGGGCCAGAGTGGCAAGAAACCTCACACCAGGCCCCCAGGTTCCTCAGGCCTTCCCTTGGAAAGCTCAGGGCAGACACCACCTGTGACGAGAGGACAGAGGGCAGTGTGTCCAGAGGGTGCTCCTCCAAAGCAGCAGAAGGCTTGGCAGGGTGGGGCCAGTGGTTGTACCTGGGGTTCCTGCTCTATAACGTGGCTGATGGGCACCTTGGCCTGGCAGCCCTCCCAGTCCTTCAGCTCCCAGGTGTCGGGGCCCATCTGGTATGCCGGCTGCAAGCCCTCTCCTGGGAGCCGGGTGAAGTGTGCCCCTGTGGGAGCACAGGTTCTGAGGGCTGCACAGGTCCTGCTCCTTTTCTTGACCCAGGAGCTGGCCAGCGGGGCCGGGTCGGGGATTATTTATTACCTACTGCTCCCTGTGTTGGCCCCTCTGCAAGGAGCCTTGGGGGCTGGAAGAGAAGGAGAAGGGCTGGACTTTCCCTTCCAGGGGCTTACGACCTTCTCAGGATTGCAAGGCCACAGACCCAGACCCTGGGACACCACCCAGGACCGCCCATAGATAAGCAGAATGTGCGTTGCGTGAAATAAATACTATGGGTGTCCAGGGAGAAAAACAGTCAGAACAGTCTGGGGCTGTTGGGAAAGATTCCAAGGATAAGTTGGGCCTCAGTGGGCTTTGCCAGGGGAGGAGCTTTTGCAGAGGGGGAGGCAAAGTGGCTCTGGTGGCAGGAGCTGGGGCAGAGAGGGGTGGGGGAAGCACAGGCTGGCCCTCCCTAGGGGCAAGGGTCAGACAGAGCAGCCGCAGCCAGGCTGGCTACTCAGGTTGGGCTGAGGGGACTGAAGCAAAGGAATAGGCACAGAAACAGACTGGCAAGGGGGAGAAAACAGAGAGAAGCGGGAAGCGGGACAAGGAAGACTCAAAATTTCGGGCAGCTCCACGTCCTTCTTTCTGCTGAGCCCCAAATCGCCTCCCCTTAATTTCCTCCCTTCAGTCCTCGGAGGCCCCAGGGAGCCACACACAATAAATTCACGATGGTCTGTTGAGGCTCCCACAAGGCACCTTGGCCTTGTACCTCTGTAGATGAAGCGCATCTGGACCTGGGGACATGGCTGCTGGCTGCCTGGTGGTGCTAAGATTTGGGTCCCATCCTGGGCTCTCCCAGTCGCATCACCATCAACCCTGCTCCAGTCTTCTGGGGGCTCCCTCTGTGTGGAGGAGGGAAGGCTCTGCTTAGCTGCTGAAGTGGCTCCCCAACCCCAGCAGAGGGGCACCTCTGCATGCACCCCCTCCCCCAGGCATTATTGGGCAAAGCAACGGCCTGAAAATGCCAGGGACCAGGCCTAACCCCTCTACCAACACCAGGAGGCCGGGCAGTAGAGGACACAGCCCTGGACCAGGAGTCGGGAGGCCTCTCCAGCAGGGATAACCCGTGTCCTCAGGCAGTAACTGGGCCTCTCTGAGCCTTGGTTACCTCATCTGTAAAGTGAGGAAGTTGGACCGGACAACTGCTAATATACTGTGGATCTGTTTTCAATAATTGTTAACCATGTGGTCCAGGGAATAAATGCAAAGGAAAAGGGAGAGATGGACCTCAGCTAAGTTAGAACCATAGACCTCTCAGACCTGGCTGTGTCAGGTGCCATAAATGGTCAGCCCAGTCAGCTGCTGTCTACCTGGCCAGGCCACCTCCCGAGACATGAGGACCTGAGTGGCAGCTCAGAGGGTGAACTGGACATGGCCAGGCAGAGAGAGAGGGTCCAGGACATGGAGCTCCCTTAGGGATGAGGGTAGAGGAGCCAAACCTGAGTGCAGGGTCTGAGGGCATACTTTACACATCTTGAGCTACACACACAGCCTCTCGAAAGAGAACTGCAAACCCTGATGGGGCTGGGCCAACCTGCCCACCACGCATGTGTTTAAAAACCGAGGGCTCAATGAACTGAGGGAGCGGTTTCAGAAAGCAGTCTGGTGTAGCCATTAGGCCACCCCAAACCTACAAGCACCAAGTCAGGAGAGAAAGCAGAACAGGGCTTAAGGGTGAAGGGGAACTTAGGCCTGGCAGTGAAAGTAAAGGGGACATTCCTGGAGGAAGCTGATTAATGCCTGGAAACTGACGGGCAGCGTGAGCAAAGCTGAACTATACTCGGAGGACCTCCACAGGCGCGGACAGACAGGATTCCACTAACTCTCGGCGGGGGCAGCAGGTGAGATGCTGCTGAGGAGGAGTGGGGCACCTCCAAGCCTTGGGGAAGGCTAAGATTCCTGGGTCTGGGGCTACAAAAGCCCTCCCACTTCCGCTCTCGGTATGGCCATAAGGGATGGGGCGCATCGCAGAGACCACGTGCATTTGGTGTCAGAGGCCTGCGGGTCTGGGTCCCTGCCTGGTGCCCGCGCGTACCGTGAGCGCCACCCGGGCCGCGGCCGCCCGCGCCTGATCGTCCAATCTGTGCAGCTCGGCCCCGAAGGCGCGCACGGCGCGCTCCAGCCGCAGGTGGCGCAGCAGCAGGGCCTGGGCGGCCGCCTGGTCCTGCCCGCAGGACGCGCTCTCCAGCGCGGACCCCCGCTCCCGTAGCCACGAGGCCGCGTCTGCAGCGTCGGCGAAGTACTGCGGGGAGGGGCTGGCTGGGGGCGGGCCGACCCTGCATGCCCGCCCCGGCCGCCCGCCACCCGCCACCCGCCGCCCGGATACCTGCTGGAAGAGCAGGGCTGCCTGTAGCCGCGCGCCCCGCCCCGCCGCCCGGGCCCAGAGCCGCCGCCACGCGCCCTGCACCGCCTCGGCCCGCTCCCGGGGGTCCGGCTGCGTCGGGGGCCCGCGGGCGCCCAGCTCGCATCCTCTCCGCACGAGATCAGCGCACACGGCCTGGTGGCGGCGGAGCTCAGCTTCCAGGGCCTGGCGGAGCGCAGAGCAGGGAGCTCGGTGAGGGGAAGGGAGGGACAGCAGGGTGGCGACAGGCAGGGGGCGCGGTAGCAGGCACCTTGTGTTTCTGCAGGGCCACTGCGATCTGGCTGAGATCCCGGCCCAGGGCCGCGTCCTCCACCAGCTGGCGGTGCTCCCTCAGCCAGGCTTCCTCCTCCTCACAGTTGTGCAGGAACTCTGCTTGCTGCAGGGTCTGCTCCAGCAAGGCCCGCCTGAGGGACAGCAAGGGCCACCGAGGGGCTTGGGGAGTCATGGCGCTTGCGGAGGGGGTTTCTCTACCAGGCTCAAACACTCCCCCTTAGACAGGAGTTGTCTTTCCCCTGGATGACTCAACAGGGGAAACAGAGGCCTTGGGGGTGAGGGTCGGCTAGAGGAAGTTGCCAGGCCAGCAGTATTTTAACCTGGGCAGGGGGTAATTTGGGTCACAGAAAAGTTCTGGAGAAGGTAGAAGAGTTGGGCAAGCTCTTACCGGGTCCTGACAAGAGACACCAGGCTCTGGTGGAGCTGGGCCAGCGCCCTGGCCTTGGCCTGCAGCGCCTCCACACTGGTGCCCAGGGAGGAGTCCAGCTCCGTGGTCCGGTGGGCAAGATGGCTCACGTGGGCTCCGTGGGCTGAGACCTGCGCCTCCAGCAGGTCATGCCTCTGCAACAACTCCACTACCTCTGCCAGCTGCTGCCCACAGGCTGTGGAGCTGGCCAGCACCTGGCCAGGGACAGATGAGTGGTCAGTGCAGTCCCAGAGTGCTGGGTCCCCATGAGTGCCAGTGCTGGCACACTCGGCTGTGTTTCCCAGGGGTCTGCTGGTCCAGGGCCCACCTGCAGCTCCTTGAGCTGGTTGGAGGCAGTCTCTACCTCCTGCAGCAGGCTCCGCGCCGCCTGCATACCTGCCATCTGCCTCCTTTGCCCGTGGAGACGCTGAAGGAGCCGCTCCCAGCGCCGAGTGATCTCCAACTGCCTGGAGGACATGAGAATAGGGTGGTCTCCACTGGGCTGGGGCAGGGAAGCTACTGTAGGGTCCACAGCTGGTTGGGGGGCTTGATTGTCCTGGAGGAGCCCCAGCTCCATGGCTGGGGGCTGTGCACATCATAGCCTGGGGCAGTTGGGACAGTGTGTCCCTGCCTCTTAGGCACAGGCAGAGAAGCCAGAAGGAGGGCCTAGAAGGTTCAGGCCTTCATGGCCCCCCTAGCCTTCTTTCTGGTCCCCATATCAGTGATAGCAACTCCCTCCTTCTAGGTGCCTGGGCTAAAATCTTGATAACTCACTTTCTCACACCCCAGATCTGATCTGTCTGCAGATCCTCTTGGATTCAAAATATATCCAGAATCCCACCATTTCTCATCACCTCCACTGCTTCTCTGGCCTGGATTATTGCAGTAGCTTCATAACTGGTCTCTCTGCTTCTGCCTTTGTCCCTTCAGTCTGTTCCCCACATGGCATCCAGAGTGATCATTGGGAAACAGAAGTTGGATTGTGTCACTCCTCTGCTCAAGCCCTCCCATGATTTCCCATCCTTTTCTGAGTGAAAACCAAGTCTTTACTGTGCCCTACAGAGCCCAGCGTGATCCCTGCCCCCACCCCTCACCCCTGACTTCAGCTGCCACTTGTTCACTTTGGCCAACACTGGCCTCCATGCCATTCTTTAAACATGCCAGGCATGTCCCCCCCCCCCCCCCGCCCCGGGGACACTGCACTAGCCCTTCTCTCTGCCTAGTATATAGTCCATCCCCATACCTGTCTGGCTGCCCCGTCTCTTCTTTCTGGTCTTTGCTCAAAAGTGAACCTCCTCTGATCACCCAGCCCAACCCTCTCCCCCGACCTTGGTATTCCCCTATCCTGCTTTATTATTATTTTTTATCACTATCTCACATACTATATATTTTTCTTATCTGTTTTCCTTAGTAGTGTGTAAGCTCCATGAGGGGAGGGATTTTCATTTGTCCTCCTCACTGCTCAATCTCCAGCACCTAGCACCTTGCTTGGGATGCAGTAGACGCTCAATAAATGCTTGTGTAGTGAATGAATTAGTAAGAGGCTTACCTGGAAAGGACAGTGCTTTACCAAAAGGGGTGAATTACGGGTGGTGGAATTGTGGGCATCAGAGGGAGCTGGAGCTTTTTATTTATTTATTTATTTTTTTGTGAGGAAGTTCAGCCCTGAGCTAACATCTGCCAATCCTCCTCTTTTGCAGAGGAAGACTAGCCCTGGGCTAACATCCGGCCGATCTTCCTCCACTTTATGTGGGACACCGCCATAGCATGGCCTGACACGTGGTGCATCGGTGCGCGGCCGGGATCTGAATCTGGGCCGCCAGCAGCGGAGGGCATGCACTTAACCACTACGCCACGGGGCCGGCCCCTAGATCTTTTTAAAGGGAGCCCTGAACCCATCAATCGCCCTTCTCCTCTGTTGCCAGGAATGGGCAGGTGCAAGATAGCGGTATCCTAGGAAGGTCTTAGCCTGTTTTGAGGACGGTTCACATGCCCAAAGCTCACCTGTGGGCCACATCTGCCCAGCCATGGTACTGTTCCTGCTGGAGGATGTCCGCGAGCTCGGCCAGGGCCTGGAAGCGCCCCTCCTGGGGCAGGATGCTGGCCTCCAGCATGCCCAGCCTCTGGGCAGCCGCCTCCACTGTGGCCGGGCTGGCCGGCGGGGCTGTGGCCTGGCCCAGCACTTGCTCTGTATCTGTCAGGAAGCTCTCCCGGAGGGCCGCCTTGCGCTGGAAGCGCCGGGCCAGGGTTTCCAGCCGCTCTAGCTGCAGAAGCCTCTGCTGCAGGGCCTGGCTCCTGGAGGCCTCTGCCTGCTCCAGGCCTGCCCAGCGCTGGCACAGCTCCACAGGGCCCAGGCCCTCCTGAGGCAGGAAGGGCCTGCGGTTCTGGGCTCGGAGTGCTGTCTGCAGCCGGAAGAGCAGGGCCTCCGTGGCCCCTCGCTGCTGCAGCCGCGGTGGCTTCTCCTGGATGCGGAACGAGGCAAAGTCCACCAGTAGCTGGCGCATGGCAGGCAGGGAGTCTGGGAAATCCCGCGCCTCCAGCTGCACCTGCTTCTCTGCAATCCAGCGTAGCAGGTCGGCCACCAGCTGCTCGTACTGGGTCTGCAGCTCCTCTGTCTCCTGGAGCTGCAGCAGGATCTAGAGGAGGGCATGGGAACGGGTCAGGGTGGCACTCGGGGCAGACCCTGGAATGGAGGCACTCTCCTTTTGGATGCTGAGTGCCAGCCAGCATCACCCAGCTGGGCCATAGGTCCTTCCCTCACTGAGGTGCACTAAAGTGGGGGGCCTCCCAGCCCCCAGAGAAGCGGGTCTGCCCCCATTGCATACTCAGACTTGGGAGTGTGGGGCTCCCGTCCTGCCTTCCTCCATCTTATTTTACCCCATTTGGCCTCACCCCTGGGGGTGCTATTCTTTTTCTGAGCCTTCTTTCCCTTCCCTGAGGCCTCCACACTCCCAAAGCAGCTCAGAGCCCTTGGCCTGGATCATCTCCCCCAAGCCCAAGTGAGACACCAACCCTGAGAACAGCCCTCCCAGGCCTCAGCCTCTGCCATCGTGCCCAGAGAACAAGAGAGCCGCCCAAAAACATGGACTCAGCCCGGCAGAGCTGCTTCTGTGCTTGTCCTTGCAGAGTCCGGCTCTCTGAGCCTTTTATCCCATTAGGAGCTTAACAGCCTAGGAGCAGAGGGGGAGGGGGAGGGACAGGAGGGGATGTCGCTCACCTGGCTTTCCCTACGTGCCAGGCACCGTGCTGGGTGCTCTGCCCATGCTCCTTGGAACAGTCATAGCAGCCTCTGTCACCCAGGCATTATCGTCTCCATTGTACAGATGGAGCACAGTAAGTTAGGTGATGTGGCCAAGGCCACGCGGCTAGGAAGTGGCAGGGGCAGGCTTCAAGCCCAGGTGTGTCTGACTCGGGGGCCCATGCTTGCCCCCACCTCTCCTCGATGCTGCCTTCCCTTTGTCACCAACCTTCGCCAGTCTCCTCTGGACAGTCTGCCCCTGGTGCAGGCGGGAGAAGTGGTGGTAGTAGAGGGAGACGTAGGTCATGATGGAGCGCTCGTCGGGTTGGAGGGCTGCCACGTCCTCGGGGTCCAGCAGCTGAGCAATGCCCAGCTCCTGCTCAGCCACGCGGAAGGCGAAGTCGAGGTTGTGCAGTGGGCGGTCGGGACGCAGGGAGCCGTAGTCCAGCAGGTCTGGCCTGGACAGAGAGCAGGCAGGGCCCTTCACCAGGGTAAGTTACTGCTCGGGTTTCAGTGGACGTATTAAAAAAGCAGACAAGCTCCTACTGGTCATTCACACCTTACCCTGGGTTAGTTTTCCCCTGGTGGTTATCTGAGACCCTGGCTGGAGGAATAGGGCCCTAATAAAGAGGGGACGGCTAATTTGGCTCAGGGGCCAGGCTGCTGGGCAGGGGGAGATGCTCCTAAAGGGCTGGCACTTGCCCGGGAGAGGACTGAGAATAGAATCAGGGACACAGAAGGTGGTTAAAGGCAAACCTGGCCAATTCCATGGAATTTCCCAGGAAAGGGGGGAGGGGTAATCATAGTCCAGGGCCTCAGCCATCAGCCCTTTCTACTTCTATGCCCGGGGCACAGGGGCCAGAGGGATATGGGAGAAGGGGCAGGTTGAGCACCCAAGCCCCAGAGCAGTTGGGTCAGTGGCTGGAGGCCTCCAGGAGGAAGGCTGAGGCCCGCCTCAGGCCAGGTCAGGGCTGGAGGGCGCTGGCCCCTCTCCCTCAAGCTCACCGGTGGGCGTGGATGAGCGCGCTGAAGCCAAGTCCGTTGCTCCAGCTGCGGGAGAAGTCAGTGATGCTGACGTTGGCGTAGCAGGCCGTCTTCCGCTGGCACCAGACCAGCAGAGCTTCCTTGGCAGACAGCAGGGCTGCACTGGCCCCGAACTCCTCCTGGAAGGACAGGGCAGCGGTCACCACGCAGGGACCGGTGGGGAGGCAGCAGAGCCTGAGGCCGCGGGAGAGGCAGACTGGGCACCATGGTGATCCAGTTCCCCCACCTGGAGGCGGATGCGGACTGTTCTCTCTTAAGAGCATCTGATTTTATTCGATTTCATTCATGGTGGGCAGTGATTGGGGGTGAGAAAAATTGTCCTTCTAAAGAAGCGGAGCGCCTGAAAGCTGTCACCTTGAAGAAGCTGGCTTTGAGTCACAACTGGTGACAACAGCAGCAGTAGCTCCTGTTTCTCCAGCCCTTCTGATGGGCCGGGCATTGTGCTGACCGACCCTGGGCTGCAGAGTTGAGGCTGGGCTTCGTTAGACTGGCTCCTGGTCACTGGGGCTTTCTGCCAGCCAGGAGCCGGGCCGTACACATGGCTCTCCACCCTTCACAGCCCTGTGAGGTAGGCACGATTAGCATTTACATTCTAAGGATGACACAACAAGGTGCACTAAGAGAGATGAGGAAGCGGCCAGGGTTCCCTAGCTGATAGGCGAGGGTCTCCCTTGACCCAGGAACATCTGACAGAGAGCCCACCTCTGAGTGGTGAGCCCACCCATCTACCATCTCAACACCTCACATGGCTGCCTGAGGGCAGAGCTGGTGCTGCTTCTTCAGGCTGGGAAACGACCATCTATACCTGGTTTCAATCCCCTCCCCACCGCGCCATATTCCTCCTACTGACAATTTCCTTCACTCTGCCACTCTTGGCTTCTATCTGCCCCACCCCTGCTCTCTCTCTTTCACTCAGCGCTTCTTTCCCTCCTCTCTCCTCCCCTCTCCTACTTCTTTCCCTGCCCTCCATTCCTACCTAGTCCCTGACCGTCCCTCAGGGGCCCTTTCCTTCCATCCACTCCCTCCCTCGCCCCTCACAACACAAAGCCCCCCTTCTCCTTTCTCCTCTCCCACGCTTCCTCTCATTTTCTCCCCCTCTCTATCAATTCCTGTTTATAAACTCAAAATGTCAAAGCAGAGCAGGCTGCATTTCTGCCCCTGCCCTTTGTGCCCTCAGCTTGGGTAGGAAGGACATGTGGGCAGAAGTGCAGGGGGAGAGGGCCAGGAACCGGGCTCTGTCACAGCAAGGCTGTGATACCCTGAGCGGCTGCGCTGGCCGGGCAGACAGGAACCAGGAGAGATTCTGGGGAGGAGCACGTGAGGGAGCGGGGTCAGCCTGTTCCAGACATGGCTGAGTTTTGAGGGGGCATGGCCTGAGCCGGCTGCAGACAAGCAGAGCCAGCAGGGCAGATGACAGCCAGTTAGGGGAAGATGTGGACCTGGTGCTCCTGAGGGAAAGGGTGGCAGGGCACCTGGGTCTGGCTTAGGGGACTGGGTAGGGGAGCATAGCCTCCTGGAAGGGCTTGAGGTCAGTTAGAAATTCAGCCACCTGTTCATTCACCACAGTGATGCCAGGCTCTGGGGATGCAGCCAGGCAAGGCCCCTACTCTGCCAGGGCTCACAGTCACACCAGGAGTTTCAAGGGACCTCCTAGATTTGAGCCAAATCCATGGCCTCTTCTTATTAGGGTTTCATTCTCCAGGTTGGCTTTCCTAACCTACTAGAATCGAGTTTTAGGTGGTGTTTTGGAAACCATGAAACTCTGAAAATTGATAAATATGAGGACTTTATATTTTCACTCTTTCTGATACAGTTGTGGGAGAACAAGAGGTAGAATGGAGGAAGATGGGGGACCTCTCCTTAGTCTTCAGGATACTGGGGATTTGGAAACCTCAGGGCTGGGCCTCCTTCTTCATTTCCCCCAACAGCCCATTAAGGTGTAATGAAAGTTACAGGGTTTCAGTGCCAGGTAGGCAGCAACAAATCGGGGGTGAAAGGCGGGTGCTGGGCAGTCACCTCCACCCCCTCACTAGTGAATGGCTCGTCCCAGATCAGGTTTGAAGCCCATGAGCCTAGTTCTTGTTTCAGCATGTTTAATCTCTCAGACATTCTGAGTTCTTTGCCCGTGGTTGAAGAGTGAATATTAATTGTGTTGATGCTAAGGATCTGCTCTGAGGATCATAATAGTCGGGTGGACGGCTCTGTCCCCAGGGGCCTGAGGGGAGGCCAGGGCTGGGTAACTGGGCGCTGGGGGCTGAAACATACCCTGTCCAGGGAGATGTGGGAAATCTGGAAACGCAGAATGATGACCCAGATGAGTCCCAGGATGAGTGTCTGGTCTCCGTCCACAATGTTCTCTGGCCCAATGAGTGGTATTGGCACCTGTGGGCATAGTTGGCTGGGTTCGGCCGTGAACCCCGTGAGCCGGAGAAGACTCAGAGTAACCAAAAGTCCAGGGGGCCAGCTGCCGGATGGAGGGTCCTGGAAGATGTCCTGCCCCAGGAAGTCCCCAAAGGAGAAGCAGGCAGGGCCTCCAAGAACAAGGCCAGGCAATCGAAGGCTTTCTCAGTGGTTGGGTCTTTGGCCACAAGCCCACCTGGGCAAAGCCCCAACCTGGTGAACTGGCTGGACCACTGGAATGCGAGGACCTCCTGTATGTGAGCTACAGGTAAACCCGGGCCAAGATCAATGGTTCAACTACAGGGGTTGGAAATGAGGGGTCATAACAGTCAATGTATGAGCTCAATAGACAACAGCAATGTGCCTCCACCTCACAGCGTGTCTCAGAATCTCCGGGGAGTGCCTGGGTCCTGGCTTACACCTGAATCTCAGCCCTCTTTGTCAGTGTTCCATCTCCTGTTAAAAATTTAGATTCCCAGGCTCCATCCAGTCAGACTCTCTTGGGCCAGGGCACAGGAGTTTGCATTTGGACAAACACCTTGGCTGGTTCTTATGTGCACTGAAGTTGAGAACCTGCTGCCCTGGATCTTGCCACTAGGACAGGGAGGAGGAGCAGATCAAGGGGAGAAAGAAACAGAGTAAACAGCAAAGCTGCACATGACCTCGGCCCCTTCACCCTCTGGCTCTATCTTCCTCTCCTGGATCACATGGCCAAGGCCCCCGGGATTCTTGTAGCTCCTTGAGATTCTAAGCACAGGCCTTGGGGCCTTTGCACTGGCTGTCCCTCCTGTCTGAAAATAATATTCCCCCAGAGAGACAAATGGCTACATCCTTGTCTTCCTTTAAGTCTTTCCTCAACTGCCACTTTCTCAATGAGGCCTACCCTGGCCACCCTATTCAAAATCAAAACCCAAGGACTCTTCGTCCTGCCCACACACACATGCTAATCCCCTCGCCCTGCTTGGGTGGGGATACTGGTCTTGTCCCTGATGTCTCCCAAGCACCTGATTGAGTGTCGGCATATAGCGGGTAATTGATAAATATGCAGTAATGAAGAGAGAGCGAGAGAGACTCCGTAAGACCTGGCGGGAAGCTGGCTTCAGCCAACGCCAGCCTGGAGGGAGGGGTTACATCCCTGAGTGCTCCCCGTGGATACACTGTTGTATCCACCTGGTCTCTGTAGGACCCACCCCCTGCTCTGCTCTCTTCTCCTGGCACACCTGAGCCCGTCTGCATTCACCTCAGCTTGGAGTCGGAGCATCTCGTCAGTGGGGTGTTGGAGTCTGCTTACACCAGCTCCTGAGAGCTGATCTTCCCAGCTTTGTATCAACGCCACTGAAATCAGCAAATGCTACAAATCAGGGCTTTTCTTTCCTCCCAGAGAGCTGGTTGTTAAACATTTACCAGTACACCACTGATCCAGGTTCAAATAAACTGTCTGCCCTGAAACTGCAGGGCAGTTTGGTCGGGGCTTGGCTGACTGCGGTCCCCAGAGCCTGACATGGAGCACCCAGCACATGGTGAGGTATCCAGCAATGAATGCATCCCACATCCTATTTATTAACCGTGTGCTGGGGGCAACAGTGTCACCACAGCTGCCTCATATGTGTGGTGGAGACAAGGCTGTCACCTTCACAGGCTACGTGTCAGTGGCATGCCATGTATCAAAGTTCGAGGGAAGCTGCAGGGCCTCTGACAAGGGCTGCGGGGCTCGAACCCTTCCCCAGTCCCTGGAGCGGAGGTGCCTGGCTCACAGGCCATTGTCCTGGGACCAAGTAGGGCCTGGCCTTCTGTGGCTGGCAGCGTTCTGCTCTTCTGTGTGCTTGGGGACCACAGTGCTCCCATCCGTTGCTTTGGTTTCTTACCTCCCTGGCCTCCCTCTAGCACACCAGGCTCCCGGGGGGCTGACCTCCCTTCAAGGACATAAGTGATCGGCACATATACTCGGGCTCAGCCCAGCCAGTTCCAGCTCAGTGACTTCACAGCCTCCAGGGACAGTACCTGAGGCCAGGAGCGCTGGGGCTTCCCAGTTCCTGGTTCTCAGTACAGATGACCCCTGCACAGCCCCCTGACACTGGCCATGAGGGCCCCTCCGTGTCCCTGGAGCTCTTGACTCCTTTTAGTGACTCTTTCTTTGGCCTGTCCCTTTCCTTCAGGGTCCCTCCTGTTGGCTGAGACCCCTCCCTGTGATCTGGTCCAGCTTCACCAAGGCAGACCCTGTGCCTCTTCCCTCCACTGCCTGGCTCAGAGTCCTGGGCTCTTCTCACGTGTCCTACCCTCAGCCTGCCTCTCATAGCCCCACATCCAGGCTCTGCCGGCCAGTTGACCGTGGGTCTTGCCTGGTAAATAATTGCCTCATTTTTGAACAGAGAAGCTTAAGAGTACACTCAATCTTTCAGCTTTGAACCCTGTGATTCTCTCAATGGCATATTTCAGTCCCACCCACTAGCAATGATGACTGTTCCTGCTCTAGCCGGTTGGGTGCTCTCTGAGCTGGGAGAACTGTGCAAGGAAGGGCTTTGCTTCCTGGGCCTCTGCATCCCAGCTGCTGCTCCTGGATTCAGACTCCAGAGCCTCTGCCCCACCACCAGCCCAGGAAAGATGATCTAGTAGTCTAGCCTGCCCCTGCTGCCCGCCCCAGCACCGGGCCCAGAGCCCTCTCCCCAGTGCCCACCTTGGCCTTGAGGAAGGCCAGAGCACGGCTGCTGTTCTCTAGGAAGTGCACGCGCAGGCGGCCCCGGCTGGGGGGTGGCAGGGCCTCCCCCGAGATGAGCTCCAGCAGCCGCAGAAGGTGGGTGCCGTCGGCCAGCTCCGTGTAGAGGTTCTGGATCTTGATGCCCACCTGGGAGGGGAGGGGGGAAGGCACAGAGTCAGCCAGCCTCACCTGTCTGCCCTATCCCAGGACCTGGGAGGCAGAGCCCAGAGCAGCTGCCTGGAGGAAGGAGCATTGGCTTTGGCTGTGATTTGGGGTTGAGAGATGTGGTGTGTTGTGGGGTCGAGAGAAGCCTTAGCCGATGGTCTCACAGCCGGCCCTCCAGCGTCCGCTGGCCAGGGAGCCGGGCGGACGGTAGAGGTGGGCTGTGGGGCACACCCAGCTACACTCACCCGGCCGTGCTGGAAGATGTTATTGATCCAGTTGGTGAAAGTCTTCTCCTGCATCTGCATGTGCCGCGCCTGCAGCTTGCGAATGTGGCCCATCTCGTACGCAGAGTCCATGGCGGGACTGGACTGGGAGAGCCGTCCCTGGCCTCCTGCTTCAGGTGTCCTGCAGCCCCAAGGAGCTGCTGGGGATTGTGGGGCTGACCAGCCAGCAGACCTGCAGCCCTTTGGGGGCTAGTGACCACTGGACATTTCCCTAAGCTGGAGACTTTGGGGGGGCAGCGTGAATATGGATGACTCCCTGGGAGAGGTGTGCCTCTGCCAGGGGTAAGGGGGCTGACAGACTGCCAGACTGTCCCCACATTTGGTGGGGGGTTGAAGCTTGGAGCCTAGCCAGGTAAGGTTCTGGTGCCCCTGGCTGGTGCCCTGTGCTCGAATGGCCCGGGGCCCCTTTCACTCCACCCTACTTTCCAGATTCTTCATCTCAGACCTCTGCTGCCAGAGGTCTCCCCTGGACCACAGCGATTGGCTGCTGCTCCTGGGGATGAATAGGGCAAGTGGAAGGAAAACAGGAAACTACTCACCTTGGTGATGCCCAGGCCTGGGGAGGGGACCTAGCTGGACAGATGGAAATGGCAGATAGCAGGGGCTGTGTGGGGAGAGAAAGAGACATCGGGAGAGGCCGAGGCTGGAGCTGGGGCTAAGCCATGGCCCTCCTCTTGAGCCAGCAGAGCAGGGGTGACGGCACACAGCCGGCATTGTCCTCCCACCTGCCACAGGGAGTGGCCCAGACTGGGAGGGGGCGGCTCAAGAATGCTCCATTCCGTTGCTCCAGGATCTCCTCCTTCATCGTGCCCCCAACATCCGGTGGGGGTCCTGGCATCCAAGATGCAGAGGCCGAGGAGGTGGCCTTGAGTTGGCTCTGGGTGGGAGTACCCTGGGGGGCTGCAGTCTGGGTAAAAGGCACTGAAGGGCAGAGCCTCTGGTAAGAAGCTTCTGAACCCACTTCCCAGGCTGGGACTGCCCTTCTGCACCCCTACAGCGCCTCTTTGTGAGCACCCACAGGGACAGGGATGGGAGGGAGCACTCTAGGCCTCTCGTCCTCTCCTGAGGAGCGCCACCATAGAGGGAGGGGAATCATCAGAACCTGGGCTTGGAGGCAGGGGCTGTGGAGGGATCCGGTGGGCTCCTTTCTCTCCCTCCCTGAGCAAACTTGAACTGCATGCCAGAGAGAGAGTTCTAATTCAGGCAGCTTCACAGAACGGCCTGGCTCAACTCAGGGTAACAGTCACTGGGCTGGGGTGTGTGTATGGGGGTTCATCCATCCGGCAGCCCCAGAGACTCCAGGAGGAGATGCAACACTCTTCAGGGAGGTGTCCCTGGCAGCCAGGGCTGGTGAGAGGAGCAGTGGCCGCAGCCTGCCCTCGAGAGCTGGGCAAGATGAATCACCCCTGAAACCCTAGGCCCAGGGGTACAGTGCCCTTGGGGTAGGGGCAGCTCCCCTGCATCTGGGAGAAGCTTCCTCCTCTGTTGTCCTCTCCCTGCGAGGTCCCTCCTGCCACTGGGATGAGCCTGAGCCTCTTTCTCGCTCGCATCCCCAGATCCAGTCAGTTGCTCACGGCTGCTGCTGTGTGCCCCCACCATGCTCCACGGTCTACCCTCCCACCCTGTCTACTCTCACTGCCCCTGCAGGTCCTCATCAAGGTTCCCCAACTCGTCATCCTGCCTGCTCATCAGCCTGCACACGATCCCCCCGATTTACCTCTCAGAGCACAACTCTGCTCACGCCTATGAAGACTCCCCGTTGCCTGGACAGGACCAGAGCTTTCCTGCCCACATCTGGGCTCAGCTGTTCCCTCTCTCAGCTTAGAATGTCCCTTCTATTCCCCATTGTCCACATTCTTCTGTCCTATCAGCCTCAGTTAAAATCCTGCTCCTTCTAGGAAGTCCCCTCCCCCAGCCCCCATAAGCTGGTTTCTCCTCCTATTAAGACCCTTGCTCCAGACATCTTGTTGATGTGACCACCAGGGGACAGGATGGAGCTGCATGATGCTTTGCACAGAGATCTCAACAGAGGTTGTTGTATCTGAGGTTGTTGAGTGGGGCTGGGGAAGTGCTTTTCTTCCTTCTGAGCTCAGCTGCGGCTAAGGCCACCACACATGCTGCAAGGCCTCACTCCTCTTTTGCAGTGACTGATTGCAGTCCCTGCTGAAATGAGAATCCCTGTTGGTCAGTACATAGTTTTGGATTATTTACATTGCAAGTAACTGAAATCTCAAGTCAAATGGGTTTAAACAATATAAAGGGAATGTATTTCCCCACATAAATGAAAAGTCTGTCAAGAGGAGGACTTTAGCTAAGGTTTGATCCAGTAGCTCAAATGATGCCACCACAGGCCTGGATTCCCTCTGCCTTTCTCAATGCCTCCTTCATCTTCATGCTCCTTGGGGTGGTTGCTGCCACCCTAACCTCATTCCCCTGCTCCCAGCAACTCTGGGCACTCCTCTCCATGCCATTTATATTGTTGCACAATATAATAATAATAGGCTCGCTTCTTTACACTGCTTGATTCCAAGAGGAGAGAACATCTCTCCCAAGAGTTGGAACAGAAGTCTGAGGGGCCTGGCTCTCATAGGCTTGAACTGAGCCACATGTCCATTCCTGAACCAATTTCTGTGACCCAGGGGTTGAAATACTCTAATTGGCTCAAGTCAATCAGGGCCCACCCTGGAAAGAGGGGCTGGGGGGTCTATGTCACCCAAACCTCAAGGCTCAGATGGAGGGTGGGAAAGCGGGAGTGCTCTGCAAAGGAAATTCCAGGTCTGGATTGCCAAACGTGTAGATGGGTGCCAGTGAGAAAAACCTGGATGTCTGCTATGGGCGGTCCACACCTGTGATGTGTGGTAAGAGGCAGGAGCAGTGGCAGCCAGCCTGGGGGCTCCACCCAGCGCAACTGCACCTTCAGGTGCGTGGGCCTGCATGTGCACTGGAGAGAGGACGTCGTGGCAGGCTGGTCTCCTTTGAGAGTGCTCAGTGATGCCCTGTGCCTGCCTTGGAAGGGTCTGCCTCTATGTCCCCTCCAGTCACTCTGAGTTGGGGCCTGCTCCTGGACCTGGCCTCTGCCCCCAGCAGATGGAGCTGCTTTCCTGCTAAAGAAGCTCCATTTGGGGAGTCTCCCACCCAGAGAGGACACAGGAAGAGTTGGGGGGGTCACAGGGACAGCATGCAGAAGGGGCACGCCCTCCTCCTAACTCCTCTGCCTCATTTCCAAATGGATCCAAGGGACCCCCGCTTCATTCTCGAGACAGCTGGCACGTGGTCACTGGAAAACCAGAGCTGGTGCGGTAAAGGTAGCGATTTTTTCAGAAGTTTATTGATCAGTAGACCGTCTCTTTTTTTGTCTGACACTTCTGAACAAGATTACAAAAAAATAGAAGCACTATGTATTAACTGCATTGGATAATTGACACGGAACCTGATACACTCTTAAATTAGGCCCATGTTTACCTGAATAAACTCAGTGGTTATCTGTCTGAAGGGTGTTATTCTTCTGCCACATTCCCTGGAGGAAATAAACAGCGCCTCTGTGAAAACCTTTCCTTATCCTCAAGGCAATGTGTCCGGGGCATTGCTCTGGGCATAACCAAGGAGTGTAAGGTGCAAAATGGGAAGGTCCGGGTTGGGGCTGTCAGGCCATGACTCTGGCGGTTAAACCCCACCCTGGGGAGTGGACTCCAGTATAAGATGTTCCTAGTGTGGTGGAAAGGCGGCTCTCTTAGGGACCCAGATGACCGGGGGAAAGGACTGTGGTTGGCAGCGGGGCCAGGGCTCTGCCAAAGCCTCTCCTGCGGGCTGGTAATGAAGGCGGGGGTAGGGGGAGAGGAGGAGGCATTTTGCTTCTCCTCACATGCTCTCTGATCCACCTGGATACCTAGTCCCATGACACAGAATTCAACTCCTCGAGGACCCCCATCCTGCGGAGGAACCACAGCTCCAAATCCAAAGACGCTATTGCTGCATATGACAAGTGTTCCAGAGAGAACCCTGTCCAGCCCTGGAGAAGCGAAAGCCAGCCAAATGAATGGCCCTCCCCATGGCCCGCCCTGGGCCATCCAAGTGTGGGGCAGGAAAGAATTGATGTACCATGAGGCTGAAGCAGGCTGGACGGCTGCCTGTGACTACAGAGCTGGCAGGTCTTAGGGCAAGGTTTCTCTACGTAAGTTCAGGAGGGCCTCAATAGCAGGCTGACAGGCTGGAAGTTGACTGGGAGGAGTAGGCTGAAGTTTTAATTTTTCCCCCTAAACTCAAGACTGCAGAGGTTTGTGTTGTATGATACATGTGCCGTACAGAAAATAGATTCAAGGGGCCAGCCCCATGGCATAGCAGTTAAGTATGCGTGCTCCGCTGCTGGCGACCGGGGTTCGGATCCCGGGCGTGCACTGATGCACCGCTTGTCAGGCTGTGCTGTGGCGGCGTCCCACATAAGTGGAGGAAGATGGGCACGGATGTTAGCCCAGGCCCAGTCTTCCTCAGCAAAAAGAGGAGAATTGGCATGGATGTTAGCTCAGGGCTGATCTTCCTCACAAAAAAAAAAGAAAGATTCAAGATTCTTAGATTTTCTTCTGTGGAATCATGGAGAGCGTAAGGATAGTTTCATAGTGCCAGAGTTTACCTGCTTCCACCCTCCTGCCCATCCGTAAACACTCTGGGGAGGGGCTACTTTGAAAATTGGGGTGGGAAGGGCAATACGGTCAGTCAAGGCGAACAGATCCTAGGAGGCTCTACTGCCCCGCCGCCCTGCTGCAGGGGGACGGGACAGCGGGTGTTTTGGACACAGACTCAAGGAACTTCGCACGAGTCCTGGGAAGATACGGGTCCTCACCTGGCTGCCATCCCTAATAATGTTTTCCAGTGTTTTTCTTTCCAATCAACTTTTCATGATGAATGACTTTATGTTGTAAGAAAAGATATTAAGAAAAATGGACAAGTGATTTTTTTCTTCTCTCAGCAGGGAAAGGATTCAGCTGCCAGATGTTCTCCCACCTGAGGGCATGGGGGGTAGGGATCATAACACCATGAGAAGTTTCCTTCCACGTAGAAACCAGAAACCTCAGTCTGCTGGCCCTCTAAAACAGTTTCCCTATAATTCTCTACATAGACAAAACTTGGCCATATCTACATATACACACGTTGACAAATGTCAAAAATACATACTCATGTGACATAATATGTGTATATATTTATCTTTATATATGACAATTGATCTTTACATATGACAATTGAGTTAAGGAGGCGAGATAATTCTGAATGGAAAATCAGCTAACCTTGGATCTCTAAACCTTTGGACAAATGAACTCTTTCTTCTCTTAATTTTGTCCTGCGGTGGACTTCACTGTGCAGTCCTCGTGCGCTCACAAAACTATCTGCTCATATTACGGTACTGGAATTACAAACGTCTCTTTTCTATGTGTCTGGTTAATTTAAAAGTGCTCATTAAGTTGAAAAAACATATTATGCATTTACTTCTCTTAAAACGAAATTATTTAGAAAGTGAGCTAGGGAGTGTGAGGGCTGGCCTCTGGATAAATACTTCTCTAAAATATAAATTTTCTCTTAAGTCTGCAGTTCTGACCCTGAGGTCACAGGTGACATCAGAAAAAAAACTATGTGGTTTTGGAAGGCCCAGGTGGGACTGTTCTGACTTCACTCATTTCCAGTGCTGGCAGGGCCCCATGTCATCAGCCGTCACTATTTTGTCTCTTTATTGCATAAATACTGATGAAAGGCACCTGCATCCCCAAGCTGGAGCCCACACATCAGGGAGGGTGGCAGTGAGCATTAACCACTCCACTGGACCCAGGCACTTGAGTGAGCAGTCCAGAGAGGTTTACACAGGGGAAGAACCTCACTCAGGAGCCAGTGTACAGGTCTGTGCCCAAATCCTGCCTCGCGATGGGCATTCATGCTACCAACCACACAGCCATTTGAAGAAAAGGTTTTATATGAAATATTCTATCCCATTTCTGTATAAAGGCTTTTATGTAAGAAAAAAACTGGACATAATAAAAATGCCTATTTTTTATAAAAATAGTGTCTAATGCTCGTAGACTCATCTCTTCTATCTGACAGCCCAGGGCAGGCTGGCCTCTCATTCCCCTTTGTGTCCACAGGCCCAGGACATGGCACGCACCAAGACATATTTTTGCTGAATTTAAATCCTGCCATCAACCAAGGAGCCTTGGGGACATGTAACTACACTGAGGCCTGAGGAGAGCCACCTCTTCTCCTTACTGTCATTTAGGTATGATAAATAGACTCTGCTATGTATTACTGGACAGACCAGTAAGAAAAGCTAATCTTCAGATTTCAACATGACTTGAATACTGGAAATCTTGTCAGGTGTTAATAAAGGCTGTGAGTTCCAAATTCCTAACCAAACACAACTTTGCTGGAAGGGCCCTGGGTGGGGGGAGCCCTGGGAGGGCTGGTCAGCGGGTGCAGGACAGACGCTCTCTGCTGGCCGGGCTGCCCGTTCTGCTCGAGCCTGCCGAAGGGACGGGCGCACACAGACACAGTGCGTCCTCCTTTCAAACCCAGGGCGGCAGTCTTCTTCTCTTTGGTAGAGTTTGGGGAGAACAGAAACCCTCTCTGCTCTGTTTTCTTCCACTCTAACTATAGCAGGAAACAAAATGAATAAGATCACCTTTGCTCCCTCCCAGTGCCCTTTGAGGCACAGAGAGGTTCATGGTGAAGAGCGGTCCAGGGAAGCCCAGCAGACTCAACTGCTCCAGGAGAGCCCCCAGCTCACTCCCTGTGGCTCTAGGATTCCACAAGGCCCACCTCCACATCTCTGCCTCCCTGGCTTCTGAGTACTCTTTGGTCAATTTCTCTTTCTTCTCAACCCTTCAATCTCCTTATCCACCCCCTCTCCCCAATATTTTAATAGAAACTCAGGAAACTTTAGAGGTGAAAGGACCTCATCTAGTGTGCAGTGTCTGCCCTCCCCGTTCTACAGATGGGGAAACTGAGGCACAGAGAGGGCAGTGCCTTGCCCAGGGTCACTCAATGAGTCAGTGGCAGTGTGGGCCTCAGGCCCAGGTGCCCCGATTCCCACCCCCCACTGCCTGCCCTGTGTGCGTCCTGCCCCTCAGTCGGCCTTCAGCAGGGACTTCCTGTGAGAGGGGGGCACAAGGTGGGGGGGAAGGCTGTTGGGCAGCTCGTAGCCATCGAGCTTGATCTTGATGAGGTGCTTGGCCAGCGCGAACTCCTCCTCGTCCAGCATGCCGTCGCAGTCACAGTCGGCCAGCTTCCAGATCTTGCCCAGGACGCTGTTGGGCAGCTTGGAGGTCACCATCTCCTTCTTGGCGTTGACGCCCGATATCTTGCCATTGATGGGCGACAGGGTGTAGAAGAGCTCGTCATAGATGGGCTTGTCTTTGGCCACAACCCACTCCTCCTCGTCGGCGCCCTCCTTGGCGCCCTCCCCGTAGCCCTGGTTGAAGGGGCCCTCGGCGGTGCCGTCGAAGGCGCCGCCCTGCACGAGCTGTGTGGGCATGCTCATCTCCTCCTGGCTGATGAGGCTCATCAGCGATGAGATCTTACTGCTCAGCATGTTGTCCACGGCCTCGATCAGCTTGGGCTTCAGGGAGTGGAATTTGGTGAAGTCGTAGATCTCAAGCTGTTCCTGCAAAAGGAGAAAGCACAGATTCGGTCAATGCCCTCCCTTCAGGAAGCGAACAGAGAGAGGGATAGCTGGTGGGAGATAATTCTCCCTTAAAGCAGACATCCCAGACTCTGGGCTGTTCTCTTTGGTGGAGTCCCCACATCCGAACTCACCAATACAGGAATGGCTTTTGGAACAAGAAACAAGAGCAGTGGGGTACAGCGTTTTTCCCTAGTAGCTAATCTCTGGGGGTGGCCGCATGAGTGACAACAATCCCCTAGGGCTTTGAGACAATTTTTCTTTACCCTGCCTTTTTTTTATGTGTGTGCTCTAGAGATTTAGTATTTTATCTTTTAAGATGATTTTACGACATACTTCAGTTCATCTTCGTAATAATGCTGGGAGTGAGGAAGGGCAGGTATCAACCCTGCTTTACAGAGAGCACATGGGGCGTCCCGGCAGAGTCAAGACTAGAGCTCCTGTCTCCTGCTGCTTGACTAGTGCTCTTTGTGCTGTAACATGAAGCTGTGACAGACGGACTTACCTAGGTAAAACAATTATTTAAGGACATTGTTTTTGGATCAGTTAAGAAAATGTAGGTTAGGGTACAAGTAAGTAAAAGTTGAAACTGGTAAGGGAGAGAGGAGTAGGGATGGGGAGAGCGAGTATAAATCCAGCCAATAGGGCTGAGTATCACTAGCGAGGTCAGGGCAGGTCTCGGCTCCACCTCCCAGGAGAACTGGCCCATCGGCAGATAGAGCAGCAGGAGCACAGGCTCAGAAGATGGCTCTAGGAGACGCAGCAATTGCCTGGCCAGGACAGGAGCTAACTGTAGATGCCACAGAAGCTCTGTGGAAACAGTTCTTCCTACGTTGGTTCTCCTCGGTTACTCATCTATCCATTCATCCATCTACCCATCTATGCATCCTTTATCCATCCATGTATCCTTCATCCATCCATCCATCCATCTATCCTTCATCCATCCATCCACCCACCCTTCATCCATCCATCCACCCAACATTTATTGGCCATTTGTTATGTGCCAGGCCCTGTTCTGGGGCCTGGGGATAGAAAACATGAAAAGCCACAGTCTCTGCCCTCAGGGAGCTTATGTTGTAATAGAGGAAAGACTTTCTAGTTTTTTAGTTCCTGTCTACTTTCAAAAAGGGCTTGACTTAGCTTGCAGTGAAAAAATGAAATAGAAGAAAGTCAGTAGAAAGGGAAAAGCCATGTAATTAAAAGGGAGAGGGACGGACTCCTCATCTCAGACAACTCAGGTGACAATAGCTACTGCTCCCTGGGGGCTCACACCCCCTCATTGTCTGAGGGGAGAACCACCTGTTCATCCTAAGAGACAAGTTCTCCCTGGCCCTGAATTGTGAGAGTTACCTGGGGATCTTTAAGAGGAGCCTCAAAGATCTAGTGAAAATTGTCTTCAACAGCAGTTTTGCCAAATAAATGCAGAAAATTCCAGGTATGGCAGTTTGTGTATGGACTCTCTGGGAAGTACTTCTGTTCAGACAATCCTAGAGGGCCAAAGAGGGGCCATCCAGGTGTGCAATTTTCTAGAGATGTGGCAAGGAGACTCGAGGAAAAGAGGTTTCACGTACCCCTCAGACCTGACTGCTCTGGAGAGAAGTAATGTGACAGGCAGTTAGGAAAAAATAAAACTTTGTGCTGTCATAAATATCACATTTTTATTGTAAAATTTTGGGGAAAAAACTGGTAATCAAAAATAAAAATCTTAAATCACTTGTAATCCATCACCCAGGAATAACCTCTGCTAACATTTTTGGGCACACATTTCCAGCTATTGTTATAAACACACATACTTTAACTGAAATAAGACCACAGTGTTTAACAACTTGCATTTTAAAGAAATAATGTATATATTTCTGTGATATTAATTTTTATATAGCCTTATTCTTAATAGCTACATAACACTGAACTGTATAGCTGGGCCATTCTTCATTTACTCTGTCCCACGTAGTTGGACATTTAGGTCGTTTCCAATGGAGAATCAAAACTGTGGTCTCTAGGGTGGACTGGCAGGGCAGACGTTCTATGCTGTTATTTAGAAGTGGAGCCCTGAGCTGTAGATGGTGGAGGGGACAGAGCTGAAAGCTAACTAGCCTGACATCTCTCTAGAGAGGCGCCTCCAACACTCTTCTCAGAAGCAAACACCCTGACACCCAGTGTGCGGCTTGCACTCAGCTCAGAGTGGTGGGGCAATGCAGGCCTGGTCTCTAAAATGCATTCCAGTCTGCAAGTCCTCCATCCTCGCTGACAGACCACGGTCACCTGCATGTCACCCCAACAGCAGCAACAAAAAAATGCTGCCAACACTTTGGGCTCAGTCAGCTAAGGGAACTGAGAAGAGAAAGTCCCGGAGGAGGAGAGCAGGCAGCCTACACAAAAATCCGAGTGCTGCTGGGGTAAACAAGTCTGGATTCCTCCGGGTGCACGAACACCTACCCTGTTTCCTCATGAATGAGCCTGAGCTCTGAGCGCACACAGAACCCCTGTGTCTGGTCAAGTGGACGAATGAGGGCAGTGCCCACCCAAACTTTCCACCCTCCTGCAGGGGATGTGGAATCAGACTGCAAACCTCAGGAAAACTGGCAAGGGGAAATGGCCACATATTTGCAGGGGTGGACAGGAAGCCACAGCAGAGCCATTCCTGCCCCAGAGGCACATGGGAAAAAAGCCCTACACTCTTGTTTCTATGGGACCCACCTCACCAGGCCTGCCACGGAGTATGGGGTACAAGTCCTCCACCATGGTGACTCCAAAACAGAAGTCTTTTTATTGGGATGAATACACACTGGGGAATTTAAAGATTTACCCATCAACAACTATATCCATCAGAGCCACCAAGCCCAGGATGCTGGAACTGCTCCTTCCCAAGAGACAAAGGTTAGTTCCCAGCTCAGCCTCCCTGGGCTGTCCCTTGCCCACTCACTCCCAACATTCACCAGAAGTAGTTTCCAATCCACGGGAGGATCTGAGCAGATGGGGATGGCTCTGCTGCCCTCTGTTGTTGAAAAGCTGCCAACTCATCAGCTGTGGGGGCCAAATTAGCAGAGGAGGACAACTAAGTCAGCAATCAAGGTGGCCTCGTTAGTGCTCGCCTCATTCTCCAGGACGGACACATCAGTGCAGTAAATTAGATTCCCTCCCCAAAAGGTGTGGGACAGACACTGGCAGATGCACCAGCAGGTCTCAGGCCTCTCCCCGCAATGGGCAAAAGCCTTCAAAATATACTTGGCTCACTGCTACGGCTAAGTTACCCTGACCACCATGGTCCATGAGAGCACAGGGAGAAGAGAGACTTAAAGCTGGACCAATGAGCTCTCCGAGGGACCCTGAGATGTGCAAAGATCATAATAAAGTCATTGCTAAGCTTACACCTCTGCTGCTGTCCCAGACGCAGTTGATATGAGGTTGAACGCCTGTGTTGGAGAGGATGTCAGAGGATCATCAGACTCAGGGATGACAGAGGCCCTGACCCACACCATGATCCCCCAAAGCTTCCTGGGTGACAGCAAACTGGCCTGAAGTATCAGATGTCAGTAAGCAGCCCTACAGGCTCCAGGCCTGCCTTGTTCCCTGGGGAGACCCTGAAGGGACTTGGGTGGTGTCATCAGGGCCTGGCTGGCTTCCCAAGGAAGCATCCTCTTCCAGCTTCCAGGGGTTTGCTCGGGAAACTGCCGGTAGATAAGCCCTTTGGGAGTCATGGCTGGGTCAGGGTCTGAGAAACTCACTGCCCGAGAGCCTGTTCTGATATAAACACACACTCACTTATTAACTCACTCAGCACTTACTCACTGAGCACCTGCCTCACCCCAGGTGCTAGGGATACGGCAGCGACCAGGACAGAGGTCATGGGATTACAGCCTTATACAGGAGAGAGACACTAAATAGTAAACACTAAATACAGTAATTAATTACATGAAGCACAACAGCGTTTGTGTCATAAGGAGCACATGTCCCAACCAGAGTCTTTGCTGCCAAAACATCACTGCCAGCCACAGCCACAGTGGCAGAGACCATGACCCAGAATGGACGCTCTGCCTGGCAAGGGTTTTTATTTTTGCTGTTGGTTCATTTTTGTTCATGGATTTCTTCTAGGGGCCTAGAATAGTGCCTGGCCACTGGAGGCTTAATTGATATTTCTTAGACGAATGAGTAAACGAACACAGGGGAATGGGGCACCAGTCAGGTGGGACTCCTCGCTCCCAGTCCTAGGGCATCAGGTGTCCGTGAAGGTGCTGAGGCACCTGGGGTGGGGAGTGACCCACAGGGCTCTCCACGAAGGTTTAGGCCCTTCTTGTATCATCCAGCTAAATGGGCCGCGGCTGCTCCTGAGGCCCGAGGTGAGTGGGCACACGGCTTCCTTGTTTTCTTCCCCAAGGACTGCCCCTCTGCCCCAGCTCTGAGAGGCCTGGACGTCCTCTGCCCCAGCCAGGCCAGGCTAACGTGGTCATGAGCAGCTCTGCTCACAGAGTTTGCTCCCTATGTTATGGAGTTCACTTGGAGACGGGCAGCGGAGGCCCTGGAAGGGAGGCGTGATGGGCTCAGCAGTGCCTCAGGTCTTGGGAGCCCCATCTTCTTGTGGGTGGGGCACCGTGGTAGCCTCTTTAGGCTAATGAGCCACAGAAGCCCCATTAGGCCCTAGTGCGCACTGTGTATTTATTCATAGCTTTTATTTCAGTCAAGAAACCCAATTCCCTTCAAAAATATCTGAAAGATGCAAGGAAACAGTTGTCATTCAGTTTGGTCATGGGTGCAGGCCATAACCAAGGGTGTGAGAGTGCAGCCTGCTCAGGAAGGCTGCTCCGAGAGGCCCCAGGAGCCCGCAAATTAGCCATCTCATGACCAGAATAAGAACCCCAATTCCTCCTCTGAGTTCAGGAATACCTATTTCATTTCTGGAAGAAAACAAATGTTTCTGTATTTATTCTGAAGCCAACCAAATCACATTTGACCAGATCATATAACCAGACGCACTCACCCTGATGCCTGCCATCAAAACAGTAAGTGTAACCCACTCCTATCTTAGCATGTCCTTGATATAAAGTTTACAGTAAAACACCTCTCAGGACGGAAGCTTCCCTTCCTGCGGCCTGTTGATCCTTGCCTCCACTGCTTGACCTCTCCTCCTCCTGTTCCTCCTCCTCTCCCCTCCTGAGGCAGGCAGGCAGCTCACAGGCCCGGCCTCCCAGCTGTGTATTTTAAACTGCACTCTCCCTTCAGTGCTGTCTCTCTCCTGGGCTCAGGGCAGAATGCGGTAACTGGAGGTCCCCCGGGTGCAGAGCTGCTTTGTCTGGCCTATGTAGTATTCCCTGAAAATTTGAGCCAATATTGGAAAACCAGGTGACTTTACATAAAAATCCAGATTTCCAGCTTCTCGTGAACCAGTCGGGCCCACAGCACCCCCGGGCAGCGGCCCCCGGGCAGGACAGGGCTTCTCCACTGAGGCGGAGGACACACTTCCCATCTGCTCCCACCGTGGGCCCCACAAGTTCTCACTGCACTTGCAGAATTGTTTTCCTCCAGGTAGAGACTATTTCTTGGAATCCACATCTCCATCAGATGCGAGAAAATAAGGTAGTCAGAGACGGCAACGCGGTTTCTCTCCCCCTGCCTGCCTGTTCACGTTATCGGCTGGTGGCTGCAGGCGTCTGAGTTGGTGTTGCCTGGTCTCCAGAGAGGACTGTGGCCTCTAGTGCAGATGGGTCCTTGCTCTGGACAAGAAAATGGTCAGTCTGGCCCTGTAAGGAGCTAGGGGGGTGGCCTCGCTTGGGAGGACGCGGTCAGCATCGCTACAGTCGTCTAACTCCACTGTCGGGTGGTGGATGCACTGGTCAGGCCAAAGCGGCTGAACACAGCGCCCATTCCAGCTCATCTGAGGCTGCCCAGACAGAACTCAGGGAGACCCTGAAGTCAGGCCAAAGGCTGCCCAATGCTGACCTTTACAAAAAATCCTCAGTGAGCACAGCTCACTGTGTCCAGCGAAGTCCAGCCATGTCCACGAACACCCTGGCCTGACTGAGCTCATGACCAGTGCTGCCTAAGCACATAATCCCACAGCACCGGGCAGTGCTGGGCAGGGCCGGCCTGAGGAGACCTCCAAGGTCACCCTCAGCTCTAATTCCCTTAAGGTTCTGGGATTCTGAAAAACAAGTATCACCCAACGTCAAATCAACCTTGAACAAAGTCTAAGAGGGCTGCTCATCTGATTTTTTCATGTGAGCTTAAGTTAGTTCTTGAAATGCGTCCCTTTTTGTTTAAATGTTTAGGGAAGCAGGCAACGTCTGCTTTATTCACAGGCGCCTCTTATCACAGATCACCACTAGGAAGATGAATTCATTGTGTTCTCCTCCATCCTAAACCATGAAACCTTCATGTGTACCTAGCAACCAGCCAGGCAGGGTGGCAGTGCTCTCCGTCCCCCTCCCAGGACGTTGTAAGGGGGTCCCAGTACCTGCATTGCCTTGACCTCGGGGAAGTCCCCTGCAGAAATCTGGTATTCCCGCTGTAGCTGAATGTAGATTTCCGGCAACCTGCTGATAAGCTCTCTCTTCTTGTTTTCCTTTCCAAATACACTGGGCATCTCCTTCTTCAGGTGGCTGATGATGTAGGCATGTACCTGAAAGGGTATATGTCAGTGAGGATGTGCCATTTAGAACTGCACCAGAAGGATAAACAAGTTGGCTTCCTATATGCATCACAACACATAACAGGCACTGTCACAGAGCCATGGTCCTCGGGACAGCACGAGGGCGAGGATTCGGGGGAGAGGATAGGGAGAAATTACAAGCCTGGTTCTGGGTGTGTAAAATGTGAAGTATGTGAGGGACAGCTAGGTGAGCTGTCCCAGGGTGGCTGGATCGTAGGCCCAGAGCTCTGGGGAGAGCTGGAGAAGAGGTGGTGGCCAGAGCCATGAGAGTGAATGAGACCACCCAGGGAAAGTGAGCAGAGAAAATTCCACCATTAAGGGCCAGGAGGAGGAGGAGCCAAGAAAAAGACCTTGGGAGGTAGAATGTGACAGCTCAGGGCTATGGGAGGACGGATCCAGGGGAGAGGTGACATCTGAGCCGAGCCTTGAAGAACAGGCAGGATGTGTGGGTGACGGGAGGGATGTGGCAGCCCAGGGAAGGGAAGAGCACGGATGGAGGTGTGGAGGTAACACGCTGGGGGCAGTGTCACATACGTGGCTGCAGCCCAGGCTGAGAAGTGGGGAAGGTGGGCTGTGTTTAGATTGCTCGGTGGGCACTAGGAGCCACTGGAGGATTTAGAACGCCTCTGCTCACCTAATATTGTGCTAATGATGGTTTTGGAAGACCAGAGAGGCCAGAATAATGCCAAGAGCTCCCTGCTTTCCAGGTGGGCTGGTGATGCTTGGCTGGGGATGGGGTGGGGTCAGGTGGGGTTGCACAGGGGATTTCCCTTGGAACCCTGTCCTAAAATGCACCCCTGAGGAAGGGCCATTGACTTGGGGAAGTTCTGTGGCTATGCTCAGTCATGCCTCTGAGTGGCTATTCCACGTCTCTATAGAGAGTGAGCGGTATGGGCAGGGGGCTGCTGGGCAGGAAAGGTCTCAGTTCTGCTGATTAATCAGAAGACCTAAAGAGAAAGTTTCACCAGGCTGGTGCCTGGGAGCACCAAGAAACGAAACTGAAGGCTGACACAAATGGCTGATTTGCATGGAAATCTGTGCCCAGTGAACAGTGAGATGAGAATTTCCATAACTTTCCTGTGGACAGTTTAAACCTCGAGATTTCTACAGGTGGCACTAAAGTCATTTTTGTGCAAGAGCAGCTGCCTGGGACAAGGCTGGATGGCAGAAGCTCCCTGTGGGAGAGGGACCCCAGTGCACGAGGGGGAAATCCCAGAAACACTGATCACCTGGGGGTGGCAGGCCTGGGACTGTTCCCCAAGGGGTGGTGGATCCCACTGGGAGGACTCTGCTTGGCCTGTATCACCCCCTTCTGTAAATCTCCATTCTTCTACGGATTTCCAACTTCAGGACATTAAGACATGTTCATTACAAAAGTGCTCTTTGTATATCTAGAATCCTACAGAGTAATTTAGAAGTCAAGAAAATAACTGAAATAAGAAAAGATGAAAACCAGAGCAGTGATTACAAGAAGAAAATGACTATGTAGCTCTGGAAAATCCTATTAAAGAAAACAGACTTCTCCTATAATCTTGTGGAAGGATGGAAATTAAATAAAGGGGTAAGCAGACACATTCCATAGCTCAGGGGAGGGCTTCTGGTATGGATACACACTGGGCACAGCCAAAAACATTGTGCTAAGATTTGAAACTAAAATAGGTGCATAACGCAAATGCCGGCATGCTCGGACCAGAACTGCTAACCTCTCCTTCTAGACAAAGGCCATCTCAACACAAACACACATCAGAGCTATTGCTAGAGGTATATATTAGGAGAGATGCTTCTAAACCTTTCTGTCACTAGTAAACTTGTTTATTTACTTATTTTTCAAATTAAAACAACTTAAAATATTTACACAATTCTTCGAGATAGCTAGAGAAACCCAAAGTTTGGGAATCCTTTATTTAGAGCGATGGGCTTTAACTGCATTCCTGAGGACATGGTGAATAAGTGGTAAGATTAATGATTTCCTTGTCTTGGAGAGTGAACGCCTGGCTGGGTTTGGACGGGGCTGGGGGAGGGCCCTGTGCAATGCTTAAGGACTTGGAGGGGCTCTCTCTCCATCGGGGAGAACCGGTTGCTCACTGGCTGTCCCTGCATCATCTCCTTGGCTCGGCCCCCCTGGAACCTCTGGATTGGGCCTTTGGACTGGGGATACCTCTCTTTCCTGTGCTCAGGCTTGCCCCACTCTGGACCAGCCCTAAATGAAGTGGGAAGTCCCACAGCTGCTCAGTCTCCCATCCACCAGGGCTTCTTACTGTGACCCCCCTCACCTACCAGCTCAGGCCTGGGGCAGCTGCCAGGTCCCTGCAGGGCTCCCCAAAACCCCTCACCACCTACTAGAATGCTACCTCAGAGCCACCAGGCCCCTGCTCGGGGAAGGCTGACTCCCTACCTAGCCCCCAGCCCCCTAGGATTGGCGCCCTGTTCCTGAGCACTGAACACTGCCTGTGGCCCAGGGCCTGCTTTTGCTGGGCTGAACTGCAGGGGTGTGCACCTGCCAGAGCCCTCCACCCACCGCCTGGCAACTGCTCCCTCATCTCAGCCCGCATGGTGTTCACTGGCTGATGACTGAGGCTGCTGGACAATGGGCCACCCCTGGACGCCACATCTCCAGTGCCCTGACGTGACCGGGGCAGCTCTTGTGCCAGGCTCAACTCCCTCTTCCTCCCACCTGCCTGGCGCTACCAGAGTGGTGACCCTCAGGTGTCCTGCTCATGCTGCAGGCTGCTTTCAGCCTCAACCTCCACTTCCAGGAAGTTCCATTGGCCTGTTTTGTGGAAATCTCCTGTTACGCTGCCTCTGCATGGCCACCTCCCTCCCGCCATTCCCTGGGCATCCTAAGACAATAACCTGGGGTCAGGTTCTATGCATGGGCCTTGCCTCTAAGAAGCTTATCAAATTACGAGGTAAATTATCATCTTTAGAATCATGGAGTATTAAATCTGGAAGGGACCCCCTATATCTAATTGAACTCCGGGTTCCAGGAAATTCATATGACTTATGCAAGGTCACTCAGCTAGTTAGGAGATGCAGAGCTGGCACTAGCATTTAGCTGCCTCATTCTTGTCCTTATAGAACTAATTGTTTTCTGTGGGTATGATTTAAAAATCTTACTGAAGCTGCTGAAAATCTGGAATTCAAAATGCACTGTGTCCTATAGTCCAATAGCGTGGAGAACTCTGAGCTTTGGCTTCTGATTGTTCCTAACTCCCAGGAAAGCTTCGGAAAGGTCATCTGTTCTCCCCTCCCCATACACAAGACAGATATGTCATGGCACATACCACTACGGACACCACACAGGATGTGGGTGAAGACTGCAATCTTCTGGCAGGATGGCACCTTGTAATTTTCTAAGGACTCTTGGTAAACAGTGGGGACAGCCTGAATGGCTGAAATTCCCTGTCAACTTCAAAAGCTCACTCCTGCCCTTATGTGTTGAAGATACCTCTCCAGATAAACACAGGACTGAGCCCAGACCTGGTGATGGTCCCCACGGAAGGAGGTGGAAACAGTATGAGAACAAAATGAGAGAAAACTAATGGAGAGAGAGAGAAAAAACTAATGGAGAAGAAGAGGAATAGGAAAGAGAAGAGGGAGAGAAAGGGGAGGGGGTGGCAGGACGAGACCTAGTGTGGAGGCCAGGGTCAGACCCTGCCACCACTGCCCACTCGCCGAGCAGCTCCGGATGAGTCATCTAATCCCCGCCTCAGCTTGCTCATTTGCAAGCAGGAAATCACAACCCTTACCTCACAGGGTTGTGACTATGAGAATCAAGAGATCATGCATTTGAATGCACTTTATCCACTAGAAAGAGGAGTAAAAATGTTATTTGTCATTGACTAATGGTCAAAGACCAACAGCTGGAGGGGCAGTAATGACAGAGAAGGCTCATGGCTACTTAGCCCTTACTGAATAATTAATAAACTCTGTATATTTGAATAGTAACAGGATGAATTTGGGTCCCACGTGCTTCGGTCACAAGTAAATGTCACTGAAACCTGGGGGCTTTTGAACATTCTTATCTTGTCTAATTTGCCCTTTCCCTTGTATAAAACTGGAAAAGCCCCAACTCACCCAATGGTAAGGACTAGGAGTAAACCAAACAGATCAAAAGATCAATTTTTCCCTGGGCTGATAACTCAATGAGCAGAAAGAGATGTCTTCCCCTTTAAATGAATGTGAATTTATAGTTCACGTATACACTATGCCACAATCTCATTAATTGTGTCCAGTGACAAGTGTTTACATATATCCAAGACTGGAGAAGCATGTACTCAGAGTGATAGTGGATAAACCCACCCTGGGCTTGGAGGTCAACTCCCGGCACAAAGTACTGGAATCTTACAGTGCTCATGGTCAGTAGGAATGGAAATGCTCATGGAATTTGGATACTAGGGAGCAGTTTGGGGGAAATCAGGCTGGGAAAACAAGGTTCTACATTGGGCAACCTCATCTGCAAGCTTCCTACGACCTTTGGGAGACCTGCACCTTTGCAGGCCCAGCTGGAAACTTGCATAGAGCATTTAACATCAAGGGATCAGCCCATTTTAAAAGTGGGTTTCTGATGATATAAAAAATTCAGTTCATAAACTAAAGACCCAAAAGATGAACCCACGGGGTAGGAAGAGTCTGAGATTGCAAGAGGCAGAGAAAAGCAGATGGTTGGTTCCCACTTGAGTAGGGGTTTGTTATTCCGTGAAATCAAAGCTGGCACCAACAGCACATGTGATACTGAAGAGCCTTTGAGGGGCCTAAGGGGCCCACCCAGTCATCTGAGGCCAGCCTTCAAAGAGACAGGCTTCCTACATGGACTCAAGCTCTGACCACGTCCACAGCAGCTTGGGGCTGCCAACTGCGCTGTTGTTAAAAGCCCCATGGCGGACTGGGCATTAAAGGGACTGTCATCAGCCATTGTAGAATGATTCTCAACACAGCTTAGCCTAGGTCCATCTGGGGATTCTCAAAACATCTAACTTCTCCACAGAAGGAACTGGCAGCACAGACAGACCGGAAGGCTGGGCTCTGCACATTACACATAACTAAGAGGAGAACACGCTTTGAAGACAAAACTAATTCCACAGAACTATAGTAAACCCTCAAATCACTGACCTCACCTTTTCGTTCTCATTTTTAGTTGTTCCTTCCTCAAATGTTGACTCATTTTTTGTTGAGCAAAAATCTCCAAATGGGTGGGAACTTTTCCTATTCTTGGGCAATGTGTTTATAAAGGGTGAGGTCCAATGGTGAACTTGCCTCACTTTATACTTTTGTTTATTTATCCCATAAATGCTATTGTTTGGAGTTTGTATGAGCCAAATTTCTTTAATTTGGCTATTTTAACTATAGCTGAATAAAACTAAATTATATTTTCCAACCCCCTTTTTTGGGCTTTCTCCAAATAGCTTACTCTAAAGAATCATGAGATGAACCGTGACTGGCGTCTTAGATCGTGAGCAGTCTTCGGAGAAGGATATCTATCGATATCATAAGGTGTCATCTTTGACGTCAACCAAAAAACTCACTCTAAAAGTTTCCTGTTCCTTGAAATAGAGAGTTGTGAAAAAAATATATAAATAGAAAAAGCAGGGAAATCATTAAATTTCAAGAGATCTTTGGTAATAGTGCCATTTTTCATATTATTAAGATGTCATCTTTATGATATCTTGAGTTTGATTACTGCAGGACATTAATGACACACTTGCTTTATTTCTGGATGGGCCATGAATTCTGCCTAATTATGGTGTTCTATAAATAGACATACTCCACACCCCAACCAGATCTGACACCTCCTAGGTGATATCTGAAAACTTATCCTTTGCATCCTTCCAAAATGTCAGCTCAATAAACCTCTAAACTTTATAGGGTTTATGTAGATGGAGAATTTTATAGGATAAACAGAATGACAGATGAATGCAGAAAGCAAGGATACAGTAAGAAGCAATAGATGCTGTCTACTCTGGATTTCAGGTGAATGCTTTCCCGACCAAGGAGTAGGACCCACTGGGGTTTGGATCTATATTTTGCAACTTACAGGCTGTGAAGCCTTGGGCAAGTTACTTCACCTTTTTGAGCTTTTGTTCCCTCGTGTGAGAAATTAAGATAATGCCCAACTTTGGCCATTATTGACAGGATCAGACAAAATAACACCTGTAGTGCAAATCACAGAGCTTCTGAAACAGTAAGCGTTGGCTTGCAAAAGGAAAACTGGATCAAGAGAAACAAAGTTTTATATACCAAAATCAAAGAGCACCTTTATAAAATATAAAAGTGGCAAAGAGAAAAACTCAGGTGACTCCTCGTCCACTGAAGCAACAACACGCTCATAAGTGGCCGTAAAACTGCAGATGGGGTAAACTGGATGGCAGCGGTTAGTTGCCAAGGCCATTGTGCTGAGTTCTGCTTCTTAACTGCCTGAGACTCTGTTTCCTGTCCCCCTCGCAGGCTGGTGGTGCCCCAGGAGCACACTGGCACAGAGAGGCTCAGGCTGGAAACATCTGTACTTCAAACATTTTCCTTTATGAAAAGGAACAAGCCAGATACTATTCTTAGGAAGAAATAAAAAGACAAGCTCTTTTCCTAGAAGTAAGCTCAGCAAATTGACCGCCCCCCGCCTCTACACAAGGGCTTCATTATTCCCAGCGTCAGTACAGAGCAGCACTCTGTGCCTCTCTGAACCCAGGCCATGCTGCCCGTTCACGAGGCCTAATACTCCAGGATGGTAGGGAAGGCCCAGTGAGCTCTCCACTCTTCATTTATTTATATGACCGAAGACAGCTGCGTCTTGAGTCACTAGGCCCTCAGCAATGACCAGCAAATAAAAACGTCCATGGGTGCTTAAAAAATAGTTCAAAAAAATCTTGAAATCTGCAAAGGCTATGACATGATTTAACAGCCTTGGTTATAAAAACATGTTGGGTATTGCATACCCTGAAGGTTAAGTTCAGCTGTATCAGCTGGAGACGAGAAAGGCCACATGCCTAAGGGGTCCCTAAGTGGGCAAAACCAGATGACCTGCTACTAGGCATTAGGCCCAGGACAAGTGGGAGAGGGAAATCACTTCTGGAAAGCCGCAGATACGTGGATTTACAAACTGGTTAACACAACTGCCTTGCAGAACTGGACAAAAGTGGCTGTAGTTCCGGAAAGGAAGTGGCTTGTCCCAGGCAGAAAGGATAAAGAGCAATGACTCACAGGGGCGCCGGCGACCGCAGATTAGCTGAGCGATACGGGAGGGGTGCATAAGCACGCATTGGGATGGAAGTTGAGGAGAGAGGGAAAGAGCAGATGGAGGTGTTATCTACGGGGCCGCGGCAGCCGGGGAGGCGTTTCTTTGGACCTAGGAGAGACTCTGCTGTGTGGGCACGTGGACATGAAGACAGAGGCTGTGGAGGAGCAATGAGGAGGTGTTGGAAGGCTGGTCACCTGTCCGGCGGTCACCCTCAGTGAAGCCTTCCCTGTCTCTCCCGGCCAGGCCCCCTCGGAGCACAGTGTCCACATCCCAATCAGCACACAGCTCGACATTCTGTAACAGGGGGTTCAGCACCCCCTCCTCCCCCAGACCAGGCTCCCCAGCCTTGGCCCAGGATGCTGAGCAACTATTGGCTGAATGAGGCCAAGTGGTGGTGGACCCCAGAAGCCTGGCCCACTGGGCCCCCAGGCCAGACCACAAGCCGCTCACTGTACAGCAAGAGGATGTGGGAGGGGACATGAGTTCTTTGCCACCAGCAGACGAAGGGGAAGTGAGCTGACCTTGCTTCCTGACCAGGGTACTGGTGGATGTGAAGAGGCAGGCCTGTGGACTGGTTTTAGCTGAAGTGACAAGGCTGAAGCAGAAGGCTGGAATGAGAGCCAGGAGGGCTATCTTTTAGTCCTAGCCTTGTCACTCATAGATTAGGTGACCCTGGAGAAATCACTTATCTTGTCCTTGTAAAATTAGGGAGTCAGGATCTTGGCTGATCACGAGAATCGCCTGGGGAACTTTCCACACACAGACACACACACGTGCATGAGCATGTGTACATAGGACATTCCCCTACACACCCGAATCAGCAGCTTTGGGGCAGGGCCTGGGAACTTATGTTGTTTAAAGCTGGGTACTTCTGATGATCCCTGGGACTAGATAAACTCTGGGGGCACTTCCAGCATTAGAGGAATATGATTTTATGAAATGTACACATAGTTTTTAAAGGACTATTTTTTCTATACTTTTTCTTAGAGGAGGCACATGCTTTTCTCTCTTCAGAGACGTGACAGAATGGACAAGACTACTCAAGGGTGGTCAGCAGACGACCCCTGGCCCCTGTTGGGCACACTCCTTGGGTGGCTGAAAGACTCAGCTATGCGGTGGGGGAGCCGGGAGCCACAGCGGGCGGGATCACAGGCCACAACCCAGAATGTGGATGTGGTGCAACCTCAATGAGAACACTGGGCGGGAAGGTTGAGCCAGTCTTCCTCCCAGGGCTCCTCTGGGTCCAGGCAGTGACACTGGGTTCTATGCATTAGGTACAGAGTGACTAGTGGTGGCATCTCAGTACCCCACTAGTCCCACCAACACCACCTCTCTCCTGTTCGGCTGGTCCTATCTCAAGGCTCTCTTCTTAACCTATTCCACACTGCGCTCACTAAGGTTCCTGGAATGGAGCCTCCTCACCCGCACTTTCCCTTAGAGGAGAGAGTGGGAATGTCCCCTGTCCCAGGCTGCCGCTCAGAGTGTCTCCTGGCTTACCTTGGCCAGCCTCGCTCGCTTGATGAGGTCGTTGAGTTTGCGCACCGCTGCCTTCTGGGGAAGGCTCTGGATGTCCCTGAAGAGGTCCTGGGCCTCGGCCTCGAAGAGCCGGCGATTGTCAGTGTTCTGCAGGGGCTGCGCCCAGAAGGAGCCGATGTAGACGCGCAGCACCTCGGGTGTGTTGATGACCTTGCCCAGAGACCACATGAGGGCCCCATAGACTCGCATCAGCTGCTGCGTGTCCACTTGGTCGGCCTTGTTCAGCACCACGCGGATCTTGTCGTCCTGGCCCCGGAAGGCCTTGATGGCCTCCGAGAACTCATCCGAGATGTCCAGTTTGTGGGCATCGAAGAGCAAGATGATCCTGTCGACCCGCTCAGCGAACCACTGCAGGACCTGGCAGAAATCATACCCTAGGTGGAGAAAGGAGCACGTCAGTGCCACCGGCTGCTGGGGAGACGCGTTTATCAGGAGGGCTCAGGGATCATCTGCTTCTCCAGCAGCTGCCAGGGAGACAGCCCCGTCTCCACGCTGGAGGCAGTGGAGTCCTCATGACCTGAAAATCATTTCAAATGGGGCCTCCCTGGGCTGGATGCATCGAGTTAATGCTGGGATCCCGGGAGCCCTTCCACGGGAAGAAATAGGGAATAAAAAGGGGCTCAAGGTCACTCTGATGGGGCAGTGCTCACTTCCATATCTGTAATTTCATTTAGTCCTCATGAGTCTCTTATTATTTCACCTAGTACAGTCCTTTGGGTCAACGGGAAAATTGATCAAGCGCTCTGTAAAACCACAGGCCATGGGTCAACAGCTCTTACTTCTGTCCAAGTGTCACTTTCTGAAAGTACCAGAGATGGAGAAGGAAGAAAACCTGGAGGCTTCTCAGAGTCCCATACGTGTCCAGTAAGCACAATGAAAGAATAATCGCTTTCTCTTAACCCAAGATTTTAAGAGTGTTAAGGGGGTCAAAGGTTGGTCTGGCTGAAATTGTGACCAACATTTATCATTTGGACTATTTATATCTTAAGTGTGTTGTAAATATTTAAAACATGTCTCACAGCCATTCTGTCAAACGGTCTCTTGCCAATTTCTTTTTTAAAATGGCTAGGCCCACAACAAATTGTTTAGTTCACTTTGGCCACGAACCAATAGGCTCCAAATTGTGCAGCTAAATAAACACACGTCTCAGCCTGTGGTCAGGACTTTCAGGCATTTCCCCAGGGAGGCAGAGTCCACGAAGAGCAAACAAGAAGAGGTCAGTCCCACAAGGTTTATTTTTAATCTCAGTCTGATTAGCTGTGGAATAGTCTCAGGGCCGCCCAATGAGAGCCAAGACAGCACCTCTCCTGACTCCTGCTTAGTGCTCGAGCCTCGTTTTTCAGATTTTGAAAACTTCCAAACACATATAAAAGTCTAGAGAATAATATAACAAATGCTGATACACCCACCTCGTAACTTTAATAAACTTTGACACTTGGCCTTTTTTGCTTCAGACACTTTAAAACATTTAAGTCTAGTTTATTTATATAACAAAATGTCATAGAGCAGTGAGGATGAACTAGATTTTCACTCATCAATACAGGAAAATCTCTGAAAAACTGGTGAGTAAAAAATCAGTGTCAAAGGGGTATGTACAGTATGATAACATTCACATAAAATGTTAAAAAACAAAGCAATACTCAACAGCCTATGGATACAGACTATACAAATACAAAAACGTTAACACCAGTTCTGGATATTGGTTGACCCTGGGGATAGGGGGCGGGAGGGGTCTAACGTGGCTGAGAAAGCGTCTAGAGGAGGATGAGCTATTAGGCAAAAATAAGCGGGTCCGTGGACTAAAGTTTCCATGAATTTGAAGAACAGGTGTAAGGAGAATAGCTGAACAAGCAAACTGGATTCAGACCCATTTTAAATAAAGACAATAAGACGTTCAGAAGCGCTGAAGTCCCCGTGTACACCTCCCCAAGCCCTTCCTCAACCTCTTCCCTGGAGGAAACCACTACCCCGAATGTGGGACTTATCTTCCCCACGCATGTGCAGACACCTCCAGATCACGCTTCTCACTTCTCTGTTCTCTCTCACTGGAGCACACCCCAATTCCCCGGGGACGAGGAGGACAAAGGTAGTTCTCGGAACGTGGGCCAGAGTTTATTTTCATTGCTGTCAGCAGCCAGTTTAGAACAGAGGGAAATCAAAGACCTATTGAACAGGTCACATACTGGTGTGTAAAGATTCAGAGTCAAGACTTCACTCCGAGTTCTGGCCCTGCAAGGCCAGAACAAACTGCCTCCCAAGGTAATAGTCACTGGTTCCGTCATTCGAGACTGACTTGTGCACCAGAAGCCCCAGATGCCGGGCAGCAGATCCTCAGCAGATGAACACTGGCGCTGTTCCCTGGGAGCTGCGGAGATGCTTTGGAACCACGCACCAGGCAGACCTGCACGTGAACTTGCTCCTCCAGTAGGGATGATCGGCTTATCACTCTGACTCAGCTCTCTCGCACCTGCTCTCCTCTGTGATCAAAATCAGGTAACTGAAGGTTCAGAAACAGATTAAAGAAAATGCTGTGTCCAGGGTGCATACTGGAGTGAACACGAGTTGTATTTTGCTGAACACTCTTCCTGTTGGGGTGGGGGAGAGGGCCCTTGTGGGTCAAAAAAAGCTGAAGCTGTGGCAGACGGTCCCTTGCTCTACTCGTTAGCAGGTTGAGGTACAGACAGGTGGTCTAGAATCAGACAGTCATCTCCTTCCACCAGAGTAGGGTACTGAATCTTGAGGGAATGATGTAAAGACACAGGAGAAATGAGAATTTATTCATGGTGGAAGTGACCGAGTTGAGAGTCCAGTGGTGGTGGCTTCCTAACCTAGTTCTTGAGCCTACTTCTCTAACCTTCCCATTAATTCTGTGAACAATCTGATCTTTTGAAAAATTCCTTTGCTGCTTAAGTTAGCCAGAATCAGCTTCTTTGTTTTGCTACCAAGAACCACGATTGGTAAATAATTATTTCCCACATTTAAATATTTCTGAATTTTGCATGCTTCTTACAATTAGTGCCAAAAAAACTTGCCACCCACATAATTGTCACCACCGGTACATGTGCAAATTCAGCCATGCAGATGTGCATCTCTTCCTCCGAGGGCCACTTGGGTTGAGTGGTTGGCCTTGATAGCATCACATGTGTTTAAACTTTAACTTAAATTTGGTTCTTAATAGTTATTTTAAGTGTCTTTTTATTTTTTATTTATTTTTATTTTTTATTATTTTTTTTGTGTGTGAGGAAGATCAGCCCTGAGCTAACATCTGCCAATCTTCCTCTTTTTGCTGAGGAAGACCGGCCCTGGGCTAACATCCATGCCCATCCTCCTCCACTTTACATGGGACGCCACCGCAGCGTGGCTTGACAAGCGGTGCGTTGGTGCGCGCCGGGGATCTGAATCCCGGGCCGCTGCAGTGGAGTGTGCGCACTTAACCGCTACGCCACCAGGCCGGCCCCTTAAGTGTCTTTTTAAAAGACTTCATTCCAATGCTTCAGTTCAAGAAAAAGCTACTGGGAACAGAGCTGCCAGGTATAAATAAGTGAAGCCATTACTCATCACTGGAGGAATGGCCACATGTCCATATTTTCTTGTTTTAAATAACAATGAGAGCTTGATAAGGTTTAAGAAGTGCAGGTAGGTAGAATTGTGTTTGTCAATTGCTTATCACGCATCAGGTAAAGCAATCAGAGGTGAAGAAATCTCCAGGTGTCTCAGAAGAAAGCAGAATTATCAAAGTGGGGAGAGGTTGGCCTGCTCAATTTCTGCCCAACACACAGTTTTTATTATTATTATTCAGTGGCATTAAGTACATTCACACTGCTGTGCAACCATCACTGCCATCCATCTCCAGAACTCTTTTCTTCTTCCCAAACTGAAAGTCTACCCATTAAACACTAACTCTCCATTCCCCCCTCCCCCCAGTCAATTGCAACCACTATTCTATTTGCCTCTATGAATTTGACTACTCTAGGAACCTCATATAAATGGAATCATACAGTATTTATCTTTTTGCTATGGGCTTACTTCACGTAGCATAATGTCCTCAAAGTTCATCCATGTTGCAGCATGTGTCACAGTTTCCTTCCTTTTCAAGGCTGAATAGGTCTGCTCAATTCTTACATCTTGAAGGACTCAGGCACCAAACACCCATCTACCAAAAAGTTCCAGCTGATGTTTAAGAAATGATTTAATTTAGTGATACGTTATTTAGTCTGCCTGCTGAAGGAAAACAGTGATTCAGGAGGACCTAGAGACCACTGATTCTCAAAGCCTGGTCTTGCATCAGAATCAAATACAGGGTTTATTGAAATTTAGACTCACAGGCCCCTCATCACCATTTCCTCATCTACAAAATGGGGCTAATAATAGTATCCACATAGCTCATGGGGCTGCTGAGTTAATATAGGTGAAGCATTTACTATCATCTAGGCACCTAGAATGCTCTCCAAAATGTTATCTACCCGTTATGTCAAAAATCTTTGTATCCAGTCCCTGGTGCACGGTGGGGGTGCAATAAATGTTTGTTGAAGGATGCTTGACTGGGGCCAAGTGCAGTCTGCAGCCATGGAAAGAAACAAATTAATTAGGGTAAAGGGAATAATGCAATGATGTTTGAGCCAAGCGAGAGAATAAGTGCTCAGAAAATAGTGAATGGAAGATACCGACCCAGCAGAGAACCGTTCATATTATATAAATAGAGCTAGTGGACTCACAAAGGCCAGAGGCCTTTCTTTTCCTGCTTGTGAAACAGATGGAGTTCTACCAGTTGGTCTTAAAGAACTTGGGTTACTCCTAAAACAAAGTTATGATTCTAGTCAGAGAATCCTCCCTGGTCTGGGAGAGTCCCATGCACACCCATGCTGGCTGGGAGAACTCAGGGCATACGCTGCACTCAGCAGGAGGAGAGTAATGAATTTTCTGTTGCAAAGGGTGTTCAGGTCCCTATTAACAAGAGAGTTCAGCCACACTATGCAAAGTAGGTCCGTGATAGTACTACCACTCAAAACAAGGTTTAAAACTAGCGGCCCTCAGGCTGAATGTGGCCCTCGGCGGCTGTTTTGTGTCGCCTCCGTAGTGTCTTTAAATTCTGAGCTGACTGTCTTTGGTCTGGACACACACTGCCAGTTCTTATAGACCACCCAGTCCATGCACGTATCCAGCACCTGGTGCCCACTTCTGAGCAGAAACACTAGAGCTCTGACTCAGCCTTTGAGACCAAACTCTGTCCTCTGAGAAGCTGCCTCCAGCTCTCCTGGCCTCCTGCAGGGGTCTCATAGCCCGCAGAGAACCGTACCGTGTGAGTTCACAGGTGTCCCCCTGACTGGGCCGTGAACCTTGGAGGACAGGGGTCCTTCTGACCCTGCTTTCTCCA